GTAAGTAGCGTATATAGGTATTAGGAGCCCGAAGGTTATATATAAGCGTTATAATATAATTCTTAAGCACCCTTATACTATAAAGAAGGATACTAATAGGAGGGTTAGTCGTTATAGTACGACGACTATTACCCGCTATCTTTAGACCTTAACCTACTAAAAGGCTACTAGAGTACGGTAATAAAGAGGGAGATTAAAGGGATTTCTACACTCGGTATATAAGAGCCTATAATTCTTTAAAAAAGCTAACTAGTTATTTCTATCGGAGTAGGGTTATCTAGCCGATCGACCGTTCTCGTAAGAGGCCTAGGAGGATAAACTCTTATAGTTTATTACTATTAATCGCCTTCCGTTTAATCTTATTAAATATCTAACCTTCCGTAACTTAATCTCGCACTCGTAGTCCGCCCTAACTCTAAGCCTTCTAATTATATAATCGGCTAATATAATTCGACGTCGGCTATCTATTTATATTAAAGAACGATAGCGGGATATACTCGGCTTACTACTAGAGTATACGAAGATCTCGGTTACGTTAGATTATTAGATATCCCTATTTAGGTAGGCGTTTATAGCTATTATTAGCTATTTTATCGACGCCGACTAGGTCTACCGCGAGGTGCTACTTAGCTTTAAACCCCTTTATAGTATATATTCGGGTACGAACCTAAGTGCTATTCTTATAAAGACGCTTACTAAGCACGGAATTATAGATTCAGTCTTTAGATTAACTACTAATAACGTGTTAAATAATAAGATACTAGTTAATACGCTTTAATAGTCTTTGTCTAGCGATATTAATATTATCCGAGTCCCCTATCTTACCTATATAATCTAATTAAGTCTAAACTAATTACTTAATCGTTTAAAAGCTATCCTACTAAATAATATAACTAAGACTATATAGATAGACCGCTAAGTTAACCTCGCTAAAGCGAATACACAATCTAGGGAGATATCGTATACCTTAAATAAGGTACGATATCTTACTATCTATATCCGCGGTAGTCTATAGCGTCGGGAGTTATTTACTACTATCTAACCCCTAGGGTAAGGGCTTATACCGATCTAGGATATTAGAACTCGATAGAATTTAACATTCCTAATACTACGCTAGGTAAAGAGACTCCGCTTTTTCATTATAAAGTTCTATAATTAGTTTAATTACGAAGACCTCGTACTTAACGATAATTAATAGCGCTAGATTAACTACCTTCTTTATCTCATAAAGCTATTCTTTAATTATACCCTTACCCTTTTAAAGACTCGAGACGTAATATCATATCTTATCTTCTAAATCTATAACTTACTATTTAAGTATCTTAAGAGATTAAAGATATAGTTATAACGTAAACGTATCGTTTAGAAGAAATAGATGCTTACCTCCCTCGAAGTAAGCTATATAAAGCTATCTAAGTACTACGAGTAGACGGACTATATACGGGGGTATATCTATACGGTTTATACGATGCTATCGCCGGATAGTAGGTTCTAGTTCTTTCTTTCTAATAACTAGGCCGATACTAAAGAGCTCCATAATTAGTATCGAGTAGCTTTCTAAGATACCCTTACTCCTATCTAGGAATATCTTAGTAGTACTAATACCTAAGGCCCGTAAGGGTCTTCCTCCGGATCGATACTAAGATTATTCCTTTATAACCTAGTTCGAAGCTAGAAGTCTCACTCTAAAGTAACGTTAGGCCTAGCTATAGATAAGCTAATATAGTATCTTAACGGTAGTAAGTTAACCCTTCTTAAATTTATAGCTATCCCTATATTTATCCCTATATTTATCCCTATAGCTATCCCTATATTCCACTCGATACTAATTTTATATAGATATAACTAATTCGGAGCCGCTCTCCTTTTAGAGAGAGAATTAATCCCGTTTTCTAGCTATTACTATACTTATAAGGGATGTCCTTATAATTCTAGTAACTAGTTCTAGCGTAGAACAACTATTTAACACTACGCGCGATATCTACTACTATCGCCGCGGTCGTCTAAAGTCTAAGACTATTAAGGAGCTAATACTATACCTCTATATATTAAGGTTTAAGCTTAAAATATAGGAAGCTAAGGATCTTAAAGAATTCTTCTCTTCTAATATAATCTAGGCACTGAGGGAAGAAAAGAATAAGTACCTAGATAATATCGACGTCGAAGCTAAAGAGATTAGTAACACTAAAGAGCAGGGTGATAAGTCTAGTTCTAGTAATCTAATAGATACTAACGATGACGGTGCTACTATCACTACTATACCGTCTTAGGTGCGGACATCGGGAAGGAAGAGGAAGTATATTAATAACGAACTATATAAACGTTATTAGATTAGCGTATAGCTAATTTAACCTCACCTAATATCTAATCTACCGATCTTATTAGTTAATCTCATTAGTTAATTTAGTTAATTCTTATAAGAACTTAGTTAATTAGTAGCCTTAGACGGTAATTTGAATACTCAAAAATACTAGGAAATTCTGCATTACTTATGAAAATACCAAGAATCGGCATGTTTGTACTGTTTGGGGCCCATTTAGGCCCCCATAAACCCGCAGTAGGCTCCTACCTTAAGCCCATAGCCCACCGGTAGGCCCGGCCTCGGGCCCAAAACCCAACCCATTTACGGGCTGGGCCCAGGTTGGGCTTTAGGCTTTGTGGGCTCTGCGGAAGTCTATTCGCGGTACAACTACATTGCATATGTCACCAAAGAGAACAGTTAGTAAACCAACTTAATTTTCAATTTCAGTATGTTAGGGCAATCTATAGGTCACGGCGTATCGCGGCCTATTGCAAACATTACGTAGCTGTGAATTAATCGGCACATGATTTTGTGTCCTCGGAAAATGGTCTAGCCCCATATGGCGAGTATCCTTGGTGCGATCATTTCCTTTAATTTTAGCTAAATCTTGGTTGAGACAGTGTTCTTGGACACGGATATATAAAGGTCTAGATCAATTATTTGCAACCATAATTGCTGCGCAAGGTATGTTAAAGAAAGGAGGTTTTGGGTGCGAAGGAAAGAAAATGCGCCAACTAGGCAGCAAAAATTGATTGTTGGAGACTCGAGGGATTCAAAGGAAGCCCTGAGTGGGAGGGTACTTTATATCCTCCATGAATACGACTATCTGTCATACAAAAGCAATATGAAATAATACAGTCACCAGCGGTAAACAAGGCTGATTCCTCAACAAGGTACGTGTTTTGATCACAGCCACAACCTCACACCATCTCTCAGACTGAGAGCGTCAGTTAATCGACTAATTTGATTGGTCCGAACCATCCTCGGAAGATATTGACCTTTAATAGTATCTATAACTTCACCGTTTTTGATACAAGTTAGGCCGCTTTGTTTCGCACACAAAGAAGAATCGACTCATGTCATTTCTGCGTCTTTGGGTACTCTGACCATACGCATTCGCCGTAGACTACATATGCAAGGGTAAGTTGGTCATGTGATCCATAGCCTATCGCCGGTGGGGCTTCGTCATTATGACTGATGAAATCCTTTCTTGATCATCTGTCACGCGGGAGTTTAAATAAACTTTGAAACCTTACTTTATACCTCAAGGTCACACAAAGATCCATGAAGACCCAATCGGAAACCTACGGTGAGTTTGAACCGCAGGAAGGGGAATAGAATTTTTAGGATTTCCATGGAAAAGGCTCCTCCATCTCTAGACAAGATTTCGCAGACGTACTATTATTGTACTTTCAACCCTACGCGATGCGGTGATGATTAACAGTCCCAAACACGAAGGGCGCATTATTCAAATACAGAGTGCTGCCTAGATATACTTAACATCTATCGAGATGGATCTGCCTGCTGACGTGAATTCGCTCGTCGCATAAATGACTTCATAAAGTCCGCTATCGGATGCTGGCGCAATTGACTTCGACCGACGGGCTACTTTCAAGGCTCACTAATATTTTTCCCAGCTGTTCACATGGGTGGTGGAGTGGTCTGTAGGTGGGGTTGGTATATGAGAATGGTTGGTTTTTAGGGGCAGGAGGGGTGATGATAGACAGCTGAATTTGCGTTCTCACGTGCTCAATCCCGGTCTGGTAGTTCCATTGATTGGCAATTTTTTTTCTTTACGTTCATCGCACAATCATTGATATCGTGTACGAAGCGACGCGCAATAACAATCGCATTTCATTTCGATAACGAAACCTGAATTTTGACCTCCATGCAATTGATCACCATCAATTCCGTTTACAACATCATATTACAGGCTTGCCCAGAGTAGAAGGAAGGCAATTCCGATAGCCTTAGCTTATCTCAGGCTACTAGGTTAGATTCATTCTAACCATGGTTCTAGTCAATTAGGCATTAATAGACCTTTGGCGGTTGCTTTGGAAAGCTGGCTAGACTCTTTTGGATTTGGATATATTGCTGGAATATGGTCCCTTTCAGTAAATTAAATATTGGGCCCTACATAGAAGCCCGCCAAGAGGGTTAAGTATGGCGTAAATAAAGTTCTCTCCAGAAACGGGGAACAAAATGAATCAAGATTTTCCATGACCGGGGTCGAGACCCTCCATTCCTCTTTCCATTCGGAAGTTCAGATTTTCTGGTTATCATTGGTTAGAAAATGGTAACCCCGTGGCAAGGACGAAGAAGAATATAATAGAACACAACCGAGCAGGACGAACAATCTGCTGAACAGAGCCCAGAAAAGTCACAAACTCCCGTCTGAGTATTGCAATTCGACAGAACTAGAGTTTAAGATGTATCACCTCAGGGTATGGATAACGGCCATGTTGTCCTTCATAGAAATTGTTCATCCTGAACCCATTGAACAAATTTGCAACGGCCTCTCAGGTGGCTTTAAATGTGACACAAGAATCACCCTTCCAACATCAGCAGAGACGAGGTATTGCCCAAACAAATTCTTCGAGGTTCGGAGTGGATGCCAATTCGGTTAAAGAATATTTCTAACATCATGGCAGACGGACTCATGCAAAACAAGAACAACATATAAGTACCTATGCCCCACATGGCGAAAGCCAGGAAGGACTTGCGATGGCTGGACTTGCGTCCCAGGTACGCTTGGCTATTAATCTCAGATCATAGATACTAATGTTTCCAGGCACGCGGGAAAAATGGATCAATGTTCCCTGTGGGATTGACATCAAATCCAAAAGTGTTGGCTTGTGCGATGCCATCCAGTCGAATCTTGGCCTTGATCCCGACATGTTGCGGAAAGCTTCCGCAATGTGTGACTGCATTCCCAGAGTGCTAGAACTCGTAAAAAATGGTGCTTTTTCACGCGTTGCGGCAGATTCCGATGTCTCTACTCTTACATCGGGTCTTTTGGGTATTTACTCACAACTTCAAAAGGTTTGCATCCAAGGTTTTGAAAATTTATTGTCTGAGCTGACTATTTGATAGTGCTTTCTAGATAACGCTTTTGCCATACAAGACGATAGGAACAAGCTCCTTACCACTGGGGATCTATCGACTCCAAAGGGTACAATTGTTGTTAGGGCTGCCGAGGTAGGCGTCCCGTCCCTCTAGCTGAACAGTTTTAATTATAGTAGATCGACTTGGCTACATATATCAAGTTCGCTGGCTCGATTGCAACTTGTGTTACTGGGGCTTGCGACGTGAATGGCATCAAAGAGTTTTTCCTCGATTACTTGCGGCAGTCCCAGCAAAGTATCGCAGACCAGTTAAAAAGTATATTTCAACCTTGGACCACGAACATAACTGGTATGCATCAACAGCTGGAAAGTCTAGGGTCGTCTCTGGATGCCGTCAGTCACACAAGCCAAGAGATTCAGAGTCAAATTAAAATACTCGGAGTTCCATCTTGTAAGAATCCAGATGTATGTGCCAAAGACGCACTGAAGACATTCAACGAGAATGGTACGTAAGACTCGTTATTTTAAAGCCCAATAGACACGCTGATTGGTATAGTCTCGAAAAATCTCCAGTTACAGCTTGCTATCGACAAAGACAAAGATGCAATACCGCGGGTTTTTTCGGTAATATCACGGATGGTAGACCTTATCAAGGGTGTTGAAGATGCTGCGTCCACGACACCCAATATTGAAGGACTTGTGAAACTTATAACCGATCAAAGGATTAAGAAGCTTTCAGATATCGTCGAAATACTCCAAGTCACAAAAGACCTTCCAAATCTTGTCAAAGATCTGCATGACCAATTGCCTACTGTTGGGCAGTTTGTACTGGCCCTCAACCAAATGGCCCAGGCAAGCAGCGACAGTATCGCCAGTATTTTGTCGGATTCCTGGAAACAGCAGGCGGATGTCATGAGCGATGAGACCCGCCAAAACATAATTTCAATACAGTCTAAGTTCCGAGATCAGATATCACCGACTATTGCAGATATAAAAACGAAGATCTCGGCCATTCAAGATTTTGTATCAGCCTTACCATTCAATGGTGGAGCGCCGAGCAGCAAGGTCAAAGTAGCGAGCTATGGACGGTGGAGCCCGGTTGCGATGAACATGCCATGTTCCAGGTGGGCAACCCAACAGTACGAAGCTTCGGGTTTCAAAGGATCATTTGGCTATCCCCAGTTCTACAACTGTCTCTACCAAGAGACAATCGAGTGGCCAAATCATCATATACCGTATATCAAGGTACAATTTGTTTGACTGCCGTGACGAGTATGTTTATTATTTGGGACGCTACTTGAACTTATTTGGGGAGGTCAAGTAATTAGAGATTACGCTGCGTTTCTTGTGAGAACAGGATTATTTGGGGTTAATGAATGGGGTTGTTCTGTATATTTTGGATAGGCTGCTGTTGCCAGATTCGTTTATACTCCTGACGTCTCGTTCTTCGCGCAACAAATTGTATTGCAAGCTTGCGCACACCTCTTGCGTGCAGCTATTTTGCCGGGACCCTCAATCATCATAAAACCTATCACGAGTTCTACATATCTTTAGGCGGCCCATTTGAAGTATCTAGGATGAAAGTATCTTCGCGAGAGGATCATATTAGAATATCAACCCACAAGCAACGAATTTTAATGCTGCACACGGAGTTGCGCAATGAATATTTTCTGTGAAACAACCCATCCAACAACATACGCCAAGTGATAAGGTTAAGAGTTAAGGTAACCTTAATGTCGGTTAGGCTTGTCTCGCCGATCATGCGCACGCGCCAGGCTGCGGAGGTTAATAGGGATTACGAGTGCAAAAACCTCAAATGGTGGCTTTTGACGGCAGAATCCCCTCTTGGCTGACATGATAATTACCAGTCGAGCGTTATCAGACCTAGAGTAATATGTAACGTCTTTTTCTAACCCATGGGGGGAAGTGGGACGCAGCGCATCCCTACTGTCATATTTGTTGTAAATACAAAAGGAAGCTTAATTCTTCTTCTTGAGGAATACATGAGGCTATATATACAGCATGAAGTCCAAGTTGATTGGAAATCAACTTGGTTCTTCCTATACATAGAGCAGGAATTATTTCCGATGTTGCGGCTTCATTCCTGAGCAGCAAGTGCCAGGTATCACAACAGGCTCCAATCACGGCACTCTCTCGATTATCAAACACAACCCGACGTCGCTGACGAGTACACGGCCCAAAACCTGCACGTTATATCCTTTGCTATAGGAGCTAGGGTCAGCTGTTCATTTCCACCGGAAATGATGGGGGGCCACGAAAATTGATTGGCATGGGGACCATTAGTACATACTGTTACATACATCTTTAGGCACACTGTTATGGTGAACGATTAGTATTAGAATTCTCAACCCTAAATAGCACGTGCGAGCTGTAAAATCAGTCTTTATCAATTTCCTCAGAGGCTATTGCAAGTCAATTTCAGCAGCAATGTCTCTAAACATCTCTCTCCCTATGCAACTCGCCTACTATTGACCCCGGTGAGACGAATTGCCAAGATTGGACCCCCCTAAAAGATGTTTTACTTAGCTGAACGAAGCCGCTTAATTAGCGTAATAATCTAAGCCTATGCTAGAGCCAAAAAACGATCCCAAAATAATCAAAATACGATAAATTACCAGACTTCTCTGGACGCGCCACTGGGCGGGACCCAAAATTTGGTTCGTGAGAGGGGCGTGCAACTAGTTTCGGGGGTAACTATGCGGCGATGCCGGACCAATTAAAGTCTTTCGCCCAAGTCCTTCCATCGACCTGAAGACGCCAGGGGAAGTATTTCATTCCATTCAATTCCGTCATGAAAGACGACACAACTTACCCAGCAATGTCTTAAATGGGATGAGGGACAGTCGGGGCCGTGGCAGGACTTTCTGGATGTCCTCTATGTAGGTTCACGACCAAAAAGGCGATTACTATCAGGCTCTCTGTCTTGGTCTGATTAATGCCATCCAGATGCTAAAGTGATTTTCAAGAGCCCCTCTTTCCAAAGTCGCCGCAATCAGACAATGCAATATTTGCAATCAAATCGTCCAGCTTATAATATCGGGCAACATGCAGACAAAACTGCAAGGCATTCTAAATCAACAGCGCTGAAAAGAGGATGCGAGTGGATAGCTAAGACAATTCTTGACCTCAAAAACCCCTCTAATAGCCACTGCAGACTTTCCTTCGGAATCGAGTGCCACTTCCGCGCCTACGCAGACAGAATTGATTTGTTGCAGATTCAAGTCGGTAGCCGACCATACAATATACCTGAATTACTGAATTGGCAGCTATAGTAGACAGTCTCCGATATTTGTCGTACCAAGGTTAGATTTCTATGCAAGCCATAGAAAGCACTGCATGTTCTCTCCAGAGCTAGGACAGTGTTATATGGGCAGAAAGATGCAATGTTGAGTTTCATTTCCGACGGCAGTCCGGCCAGGCCTATGAAATACCTAGCTGAAAAATTCTTTAGACTAATCCTATCACAAAAAGGGAAACATGAACAGAAACACTCTTACATTAGATGCTGTCATATGGCTGAAATGTCAGGTGTCATAAACACACACACACACACACACACAGATAGACAGACAGAGAGAAATAAGAGCGAAGTGGAACAGGATGGAGTGTTGTGATGTTGTGCAAGTGACTGCGGTGGCTATTCATTTGCGAAAGAGCTTAAACGCAGTGCGCGCTATTTATACGCGAAGGATAATCGCTTATCTGTAGCAAGAGCAGTTTTTACCTCATACGAAGGGGTTCTTAGAAGCGAGCTGGGAATGTACCGCATGAGGGGCATCTGCGCCACAATAAAAGAAAAAAAAGTCGCGGTAACTCAGTGCCTAGCTAGGGTGACACTAATTCTAAGTACAGTAACCCAGTACCCTTCCATGTTGTAACACCATGTGATCTTAACCATGAGATTCGGTTCTTGCTTCAACCGATCAGCCATTTATCCAATATTAATCCGCCTTGACTTCATGGTCAATCTAATTTGGAGGATAGGTTTACTAATCCGTACTATCTCAGCTTGCTAAGAGACTAGCTCGCTGGTGCTAGGGTGGCCAATGTCCAGTGACTATGAGCCACTATACAGGTGCTGAGCGGATGGAAAGGCAGGTCAGCAATTTCTCTCTGCCACTTAACTGAATGGGTGATTGCTTGTACGCCCAACCACTTGGGATTAGAAGGGTAAGCGCGTAGCATTGGCGGTTGCAGAATTATCCAAGGGGACAAGAGCGGTAGTATGTGTAACTTGACTCAGAGCGAACCAGTTACCCCGCTTTCAGGTGGAGATGATCACCCCTAAATCCTTGATTGGCTATGTCGGGCTCCCTCCTGCTAGACCCGGAGGACTGCGCGCAGGTGCCGGCGCTAAGGGATTGGAACTCGATTCTCGGTTTTGACAAAGAGCTCGGCCGCTGTGGCTTGTCAAGTAAACCACTGCCGAGACCGAAGCCATGTTCCTAATCTTCTGCGTGAACCAGTATTATCACCAGAGCCGGTGTCCGCAACGGTGATATGAATGTTCACCTTCAAGCGGATACTGCGCTGAAATCCAGACGCAATTGACCTTCTGTCTATCGTCACCCTGCTTGAAGATGCCAATGTTCCATCTAATCTTGTCTAGGAATTTGCGGATTCTCGAGTAAGATAGCGTGGGTCGGTGTCTATGGGGCTCTCATTCGGTATTGTTTTATGGTTGAGAAGGCACAGTCCGATCATCTAAGTATACGCCATCTTTTCAAGATCGTAAGCCGAGACTGGCTCATGGAGACCGGAAGGGCCCGTTGAATCCTAGACATTATAATCAATTCGGTCTCGGCGACGGATGTTAAAGAACCTTTCGAAAAATGGACCCGGTTGCATTGACATCTGCAATGAAGCCTGTATCAGGGCGGTATGAATGGCAAGAGCTCCTTGCCTTCCTCTCTGGGCGAGAGTTACCCCAATTTCATCTACGGGAAATAGCCGATATTCATAGCCGATATTCTTAGAAACCCACCACGGCTTAATCCACCCACTCGTCGTGCTGAGAACGGGGACTCATGAGGCTTGAGTGTATGAGGATATCTTGTGCCATGGGTCGTCTTACTTTCGAGCCTTGTTACGCGGCCCTTTGGTTGAGGCAATGGGGCATATCAAGGAGGATGGGGTGTATATCAAGGAAGTCAATCTCGATCCAAACATTATAACAGTACCGGGCCTTGATGCGCTGGTGTATTTTGTGTACCATAGAAATCATTACTATAATGATCTAGAACCCGATAACTTGACCATGGATGATTTTTGTGCTCTGTCTGTACTATTGGCCACGAGTCGAGCATGCTTTTCAATCATAGTTAATCGCAACTTTCCTCTCTACTTGTACTACTGAAATAGAGGCAGGTGATACAGTATATAGCACGCTACAAATCGTACGGAGTTTTTATCTCTGCCGGATGGTCTTCCTCCTCGTCGACGTTCTGTTCTTCAGTCTGGGTTGTCGTCTGCCGGTCTACCCCCTAAGCAGCCTAAATTCAGTGGTACTCAGCTCCTCCGATGGGCTCGGTGACAGCTCTGGTGGCTGTTCCATCGCAAACGATCCAGGTCGGGTATCATTCGGAGGATACTGGTCTACCGGTAGGTGTGATACCTCGTCATGTTTCGGGGTGATCGGTGCATACACCCCCTAAGACTTATTTCTTTTAGGAAAAAACTTTTGCTGAAAATCTAATTCCCGGAATCAACGCCATCCATAAGAAAGGCCGCTGAGTTAAACAAAAGAAAGCCATCGACGAGTAAGCGACACGTTCTTAAATACTTTTTTTTATACTACAAGGACGCCTCATGATACGTAGATTAGTGTTTGGATAGCAGGTTTGCCCATATTACGCAGGCAGACGGCAGTTGATTTTCTGTGTGGTTCTACGGAGCACACGCTACTTTTTCCTGCGTATTTCGCCGGAGCCTCCCCGACGTTTTGCAATGTTCCCCTCCAAAGTAACATTCGCCCGCTTCCCATTTCCTCGAGTTACATGTGCAGAATCCTTGGAAGTAACAAGCCGAGCCTGTTCCGCCTTCGACTTTAAGCGTTTGCTCCTGCGTTTTCCTGCAATTCGGACCTGCTGATCGTTCATCTCCGGTCCAGATACCAAGCTTCCAGACACATTCGTGTCAAATATCGACGAGACCCTATCTGGAGGGTACGCCGAATCATCGGAGGGGCCTTGGTTTGAGGGGAAACCATCTTCAGACGGAAATATCGGTCGTTCATGCTTCCAAATCATTCCAGGTAAGGTGCCCCATTCACTATCCCATATGCCCCTAGTAACCCAGGCTTGTTTCACTTTTTCGTAGGCTCTTGTGTTGATATCCGGTGACGTGGATAGGGAGCCACCTGCCGTTTCGCTTTGGATACGGACGCGCTCCGTTGATATCTGATAAATGAATCGGAAGAACGGACGCGATGCGTCGCCGTTGCGGATCCCTGTGGGTCGACGCTCGGCGGCATGTCGTATGCTTTTGCCAGTTGTCTGTCGTTTGGGAGCTTGTTGTATGATCGAGCAGTAAGTGGAGAAGTCACCTGACCTCGACGCTCCCTCCGTATCGATTTGGCAGTCAGGAGACGGCTCTGGCGATGTTTCATGCGTCCACTGTGATTGGGGCATATCTCTCCATTCGTTCCTCCATATCTTTTCTTCCATCCATCTCTGCTTGACTGTCTCACACGCCAAGTCATGCAAGTTAGTTCCGTCAGGCACAGCTATTGTTCGACTCTCGAGAGCTTCAATAATACACGTTTCTGTATCATTCACCTCGTCATCAAATTGCTGGTAAGGACGTGAAGCCTGGTGGTCTCTTCGCAGGTGCCACTGACGTTCCTCACACTGCCGTCGCGTCTCGATAGGGCCATCGGGACTCTGGGATCGCGTTGAGTTGTGCGATTGATGAGATTTGTACGGCGGTGGAGAACGACTAAACCGCGACCGGTCGCCGTCAAGACGCACTGGGTTGTTAACAAGTGCCGCCAGTGCACTTTGGATTTGAGGTAGTCCAGCTCTGATGCCGTCAGACATAACAAGAGACAGTAATTAGAGATTATGGGCAACGACCAACAAGTTTGGATGGGCGGGGTGGGTATATTAAGGATCCCATGGTGCAATGCGCGCAAGAAGACGGCTCAGGTGCTAAGCGCTGGAGTATGCGCTAGCGCAAAAGATGTTGCCAAGCCACGACGGCATACCCACCAAATACCCGCTTCCCAAAGCCCAGTCAATGTGATCAGCGCTTAGTGAAACCGGGAAGCCTCATCATACCTGATGCACAGCGCGTAGAAATAGTTTGTCCTGATAATGCTCGACGTTCATGCATTTATTATCCCTCCAAGAGTTTTCTCCTCTCAAAATAGAGCTCACATCTTGTTCAAGCTACGACGCCATGTCTAAATCGCATTCATCCCCTCCTCGCCACGCGATGTTCTGCCTGAAGCCTCTTAACAAACGAGCTGAAGGAGTCGTTCACCATTCTTGCAATCAACACCTTGTTTCCATGTCGATTGATGGCATATCTGTCCTCGAGATTGGATTCCATATCAGATCAGGATCTGAACATACTCTTGCAACGTTAGGCCGAGGACATGCAGACATCTTTGTGGAAGGCGCCAGCATCTCAAAATACAATGCTCTTTCGAGATCGAGCCCACCGGAGTGGTCATGTTTTATGACAGATCTCATGGCCAGACGACGCAGGTTTTCGGTGACAATGCAACACCTTTTGAAAGGGGACGAGTTCGCAAAGTCCTCGTGCAGAAACATCTGAACAACAAATTCGGGTTCGGTGGAGAGAAAAGGGACCTCGTTCAATTCGAGTTGCAATGGTATCAATCGCCAACCGGGATCGCGGACATGATCAAGAATTGAGAGAGCATCACTCAAGGATGTAAGGACAATCCCCGACTAGCGCGGACCGCGGATGACTCTGAAACGGTTTTGCCATCGCAGAGGCAGACAAGAATCCATACCCCGGGGCTTCGGCAACTCAGAATGAGATACACCAAAGTTGCGGTGCTGGGATCCGGTCAATTTGGAATAGTTTACAAGGCCATCGACATTGACGCTGGCAAGCTCCTAGTCGTTAAGATATTACAACAACCCGACCAAGCAGCAAACGAATTATGGCGGCAGTCGGTTTATTACGCACTGAAACGAGAAGTTGAGACCCTTTCACGGATTAGCCACGTTAGTAATCATCTGAGAATCCTCTCATCCCCCATCTTGCTAGACTAATGATACTGCGTCTCAGGGCTGGGATGGACCATTAGTAGAAATATTCATGGGCCTCAAAGAAGGCAACCTTAGATCATTGGTCAACAACGGCACCGTCCTGTCCATTACCGATCTTGCCCATTGCGTCTTCCACCAGATGCTTCAGGCGCTAGATTGTCTCGCCGTGCATGAAATTGTACATCGAGATGTGAAGCCTGAGAATATTCTTTATACTTCACTCCCGGGTGCTCAATATCATTTTCAGCTTGGTGATTTTGGTCTTTGCAACCGCACGGTGAGCGCTGTAACGTCGGTTGGCACCCCATTATACATGGCACCCGAAGTTCCCGAAAAAGGGAACCAAACACACATGGTGGATGTCTGGTCGCTTTTCGTCACGATGGCATGGACTTTGGACGTCGAAGGATTTCATTTAAAATCGGAAAAATTCGTGTCCATCCAGGAAGTCCATCAGGCTATTTCAAGCGCGGCGTTGAAGATAGAAATCATTCAAGAAATGGCAAGAGTCGACCCACATCAGCGTGCCTCTGCAGCACAGATGCTTCTGAAGTGCTTCGATGGAAATGGTCTCGTCACTCCCGGGCATCGAATCACACCGATTGATTTAGCAAAGGCCGAAACCAAAGCTTCTACTGCATTACTTCAGGCGCCCCGGCCTGCTGCAATGTGTCAAGGTTTCTGCCATGCCCCGAAAGCCTCGAACAAATTTCCGGACCGGTGCCGTGTCCTCAAGCCTCGCGCCCTCCGCCATAAGCAAGCGGGCAGAATACTGCGGCCAACAAGCGCCAACCGAATAGACTTTCCACCAGGAGGCGCCCACTGCTCTGCGAGATTAATTCACCTAGCATCGCGCCCCGCTTTCGTCTACGGCCGCGAATTCCAAGATAAGACTAGCCATTTTCCTGCTGGTGTTCTAGTATCACAGATGGAAGAAAACAAGCCCACTGAATAGATCTCAAATCTACCAACCCGACAGGCTCGCGGATTCCTGGGGTCTTACAGCTTGCCGAGCCTGCCGTGAAAGCGCTTTATGGATTGCGCGTTTTAAGAAGGTTGTTGCCCTTGCGCATTATGAACAATGAGCAGAACCTTGAACGGATCACTACATCAATGGGGGATGTGTGAATAGCGAGCAGCTCTGGGTAAACAGTTATTATAATCATTGATTCGGATCTATAATCATTGATTCGGATCTTCTATCCCTTTCTTCAAAAACAGCGCCATAATGTTTTCACTTTACTTGGCGGTTGACAGGTTGTCCATGTACAATATATTTTTTCAAGTTCAACTCTTCCAAAATAGTATTAGTGTTCAAAACCCACCAACTTATTTAGTAATGGGGCTAATTTGTGAGTCTGTTAGAACTTTCTAGTAAGAGTTATTAAGAATACATCATAATTTCATTATATTTCCTTTCGCAAGATACTTTTCCTCTAGTCTGGTCATGTAGTGACTGGAACGAAGGTACATAACAGTTTTCTATTCTGCTGAATCATGGATTTTGTGCCCGATTTTGTGCAAGAATGGGCGGGTTTGGGCAGGTTTGGTACTTACCGTGTGCGGGCTGGACCGGGCGGGACTTAGCGTAGTTGGACTTTGGACATTGAAGGGGTGCCCATGGACGAGACGGGTAATGGACACCCTAAGGGTGTCCACTGACGGACTGCTGCCGAGGTCTACGCTAGACCGCTAAACCGCCGGCGGATGAACCGCTATAAGGCTGGCATGGCAAACCGCTATCATATGGGACTCCCATACAGCCACGTGATTTGACACCTCTTCGCCCCCACCCTCTCCCCTGAGATTAATGTCGTCGCGTTTGATTCCATATAAATATGAATTCTAACCACTGATAGCGTCCACACATAACGCTTGATCGCTCTAGAACTTATTACTCCCTACTTCAAGCCTATCGACATGCGACCGACGTTCTTGTTGTGGAAAAGCTATAAAGCCAACGAGCAGAAGCTCTTCGGGCTGGTGTTTGAGAACAAACCACCATCGACGGTAGCGGGGATTAGGCCTAGGCATGGGCCGGCCCATAGACAAAAACCTCGTGGGCCGACCCATTTGGGTCGGCCCATGAATAGGTCAGTCGGCCCACGATTTGGCCCATTTGACCCATTTAGCCCCTAGATATGTATAATTAATATGCTAAATATCTAAAGTTAGTAGCGTAATTTATAGCCGTCTTAATTCTTCGCCCTTAGCTATGGCAAATTACAGAATAGATTACGACTTACTTACTCTCGTCTAACTCAGAAATATATAACTCTGTGTTAATGATTAAGTGTATCCTTCTGCTCTAAGTGTTAAATTTTTGATATCTTAATAGGTATCATTTTTTGAGTAGGTTTTTCAGTGTTATATAACGGAGCATAGTCTAATTTATTTATAAAAGCTTTTTGTTTCATAATCTAGGCGCGGGAAGTAGTTTAAATTTATCTTAAGGTATACGCAGAAGAGTGAGAAAAAGTTGTAGATTCGATTAAACCTAGGGGGGGACGCCTTTACTCGAATTTCGAAGGCCAGTAGGCCGGCCTATAGGCCGACCTATTAGACTAACTAATAAGAGATCGTTAAATATAGGTCTAGGAGATTAATTAGCTAATTATCGCGAAAGATATTAGATACGTTATCTCGGGCTATCTATATAGACTATATCTAGTATACTATATTATTATAAGTACTTAGGCTATCTAAAGACTATAGTTTCACTAAAATATAGGATTTACTCTCTCCTCTCTTATATTAACCCTTAATCTCTCTTTTATTTAGGATTATTAAGCTCTCTTATTAACTCTCTTATATCTTAACTATTAGATATCTACTTAGTATCTCTTTCGGATAGTTGCGAGCTTAATAATTTTTCCTATCTTTTTTCCGAAAGTATCGCGTCTTAGTACTCTATAAGCTAAATAACTCCCCTTCCTCCGCCTCTTTCTATTTCCCTATCTCTTAAGCGCTCTTTAGATCTAGCGTAAACCTACGTTATATACGAAGATATAAATAGAGAATAATTCGTTTATTAGTGGATTTAGATATAGAGCGGGTACTCTAAGTATTAATCTACTTTCTAGGATCGAAAGGGCTAGTTAGTAGGTATATAGGCTAACTTCGAATAGTTTATTTATTTTATTATTAGGTAACCTAAGGTAATATATAAGTACTATTGAGCTATTTTAAATTATCCGAACTCTATAGTCTATACTAAAGTATGGATAGTAGGGAAATAAGGAACGACTACCCTATTAAGATACCTAGAACGGGTAATATATAAAATAAAGGGCTACTTAAGTATCTAGCGCCTACTATAGAAGTAGTCGTTTTCCTAGACTAATAGTTCTTAGATATAAGCTAACCTTACTACTAATTAGTTAAAAACTTTACTAGAACTATTTAGTAAGACTCGTTAGGAATACTAACTAATCTCTATAATTACTACCTTACGGCTTTCCTTTATTACTATCGAATATCCTAAATTTCTTAAGCTTCTATAACTAGCTTAGAAAGCGCTAACCGCTATAAGCCTTCCCTCTCGAAGAACCTTATAACGTCGTATTTAAATAAAAGTATAAGATTAGTAGAAAGAGATACTTCGGAAGCTCCCGCTAAAGGTAAAGCTCTTAATAAGCTTAGATTATTAGACTTCCCCCTTCTAATAGGCCTTTATAGTAGCGTCTATTTATTTTATTAACGCTAATTAGGAATATCGGGAGGTTTTACTAGGCTTTAAGCCTCTTATTATTATTTATACTATGGCTTATTTAAGTATAGTAGTACTAGATCTACTTTAAAAGTATAAGATTAAAGGGTTAGTATTATCTTTTATAACTAATAATATATCTAATAATTCGACTCTTATCTTATCTCTATAAGCCTCTCTCTAATCTTATGGCCTCGGCTCTAATACTCTATTTATTTAAGTACTATATTTCGCCTATATAATCTATTTAAGCCTAAAGTAGCTCCTTAGTTAACTAAAAGCTAACCTAGTAAATAAGAATATCGATATAGTCTATTCTAAAGAGTATATTAAAATAGCTCGCTAAATAGTAATAGAGTATAGTATAGTAAATATATTAAAAAAGGTTTATTATTATTCTTTTTACTTATCGAATAAATACTAATTATATAATCTCTTACTAAGATCCGAAACCTCGCTATCTTTATTAATATAAGCCTTTAGCGCTTTTAATCCTTCTAAAATCTCTATTTAAATATATCTTTCTTCCTAATTTAGGACGTATAGATATTCTAGAATTCGATATTCTTAATACTCCGCTTGGCTAAGAAGCTATAACCTATCTTTAATATTTTCTACTCTAAATTTTATTATACTTATCTTTTGTTTATATCGGATAAGTATCGGTAGATTAATTACCTAATCTATATTACTTAGTTATTTTATAAATTTATTACTACCCTCTTAAAGACTAAAGATATAATTATTTATACTATTTTTAGTATTTATAATCGTCTCTTTAATTATCTAGAGAACTTTATTCGTTAGTTATAACGGAAGAAGATTTGATAGAAATAATAAATACTTAAGGCTCTAAGATTAGCTAAAAGTAAGCTTAGAGACTACTATATTATAACTAACCTTAAGGTTCTTAGTAATATATATTCTACTAGTACTATTTTAGCGCCGTAGTATAAGCTTAAATTCTTTTAAACCCTAGATTAGTAGGATAATAAAAAAGACTTTACTACTTAATATAAATAAAGTCTCGAAGACCGAGTAAAACACTACGAAGATAGTTTTTATAGCTCTCTCTCCCGGGCTAGAGGTATATAAAGCGCGAAGCCTACGAGTGAGATTAATCTACTACTCGCTCGTAATAGTCGGCCTACTACACTAGTCTCTAAGCTTACTTAGTATCTTAAGAGTAGTAAGTAGTTCTCGTATTATATATTCTTAAATAAAATTCTCTTTCTAATCTTAATTTATTAAGTAGGTACGGTATTAATACCGCCGCGCGAATTCTAGAGAGATTATAAGTATAGATTTCTAGTACTCGTAGCTCTCGCTCGAGATACCCTTTCTATCCTAGCTATAGGCGTAGGCGTAGAGCGTCTCTTTAACTCTACGCGCGATATCTACTACTATCGTCGTAGCTCACTATAATCGAGTACTATCTAGGATCTAATACTTCTTATATATAGTATTCGGTTTAATCTAGAAGAGGAGTAGCTTACTTTCGTTCGAGAGTACGTAAGTAAGTCTAAGAGAGAGCTCTAATAAGAAGAGATAGATAAGCGTACGTAAGAGGATATTATAGAGATTAGTGACAATAAGGAGGGCCCTTTATAATATAATTCGAAGAGGCGAAGGAGTATTAAGCCTATAGAAGAGCTTATAGACGAGCCTAAGGACGAGCCTAAGGACGAGCCTAAGGACGAGCCTAAGGAGGAGCCTACGCATAAGGGAGAGCCTGATTTACCTAAGCAAAACACACAGCGCGTTTCAGGAAGAGTTCGAAAGCGTTCAAGGTTATTAGATAGATATGAGATATAGTTTATTTCTGTAGTAATATTAAATACCCTCTTTCAACTGAATTATACTTACTCTTATTACGATAGCATTACAGCTAAGGGTTCGCGTAAATTGCATAAGCTATGAAAGCCATATACACACTGAATTTTGCCCTAAAATGGGTTAAATGGGCCAAATGGGCAGGAAATCGATTTTTCGGCCCATGGGCCTAAATGGGTTGACCCATTTGGGCCGGCCCATGGGTTCTGCCCAGGTCTAATTAGGACCGTACTGTACGGTAATAGGCATATATTTAGTCTATCGAACCCGCGCACCGGGCGAGAGTGGACATCGGAGCGGTTCCGCGATATATTAAAGCGGGAGACAGCTATCGGGTTACACGGGGCGTCGTTAAACATACCCGCGTACCGCAACATTGCGATTAGGATTAGTCGGCGGTATTTACGCGAGTCTAGCGTGTTTCCCTAGAATCAGCACGAGGATGGCACGACGGAAGCCCTGGTCGACGATGCAGATGACGAGGACGGGATGGACCCCGAGCGATTTGCGGGTTATATTGCCGATTTACAAGCGGCGGATTTATCCCACATCGCCGGTATGATTTACGGCCGGGAGGTCACGGAGCAGGCCCGTACCACAGCACACCGGCGGGAGATGTTTCGGTTGTCTAGTACGGATTAGCATCGATTTTTGGGGTTCCCGAACGTGGAAGATAGGCTAGCTCGGATTATTAGCAAGCGGAAGTGTCCATTCGATGAGGAGGCGCAGGCGCAAAACCACCGGCGCCGATACTAGTTGTTAACCGTGGACATGTGTGACATGATGCAAAAGATGACGGGCATAGAGAATATTACATTCCGAGGTAACTAGGCGGCCGTTATCCAGGCGATCCCCTGCGGGGCTAGTCCTATCGTGGCCACGATGCCCACGGGCGGGGGCAAGAGCATGTGTTTTATGTTACCAGCATTCGCCGCCGAGGGATTAACAGTTGTGCTAGTTCCGCTGGTCGCATTACGATCGGACATGATGCGTCGATGCCAGGAAGCCGGCATATTGTGTGTGGAATGGGGGAGCCAAGATGCAGCAAGTTCGTCGATAAAATCTGTGCTAAAATCTCCGTCCGATCACCATGCCGCCAACAAATGAAAGCAGTTTTGACCTCTCTTGTTTTCAAAAAACAGCCTGCTCATAAAAAGTAGATCCTTGGCAACTTCTACAGCTGCCTCAGGTACTGCCGCCCCCTCACCACGACTAGCAGGCACATCGACAGGTATGGAGCTTGAAACAATAAACCGTATCGTTGCTTTCACACACCGCAGGCCAAAGAATCGAGTGTCGGACAGGTAGCAGAAAAGGTTGGGATAAGATTCAAGCTCTACGAAGATGGGGAGTGGCAGCTCACAAATACGCTCATCGTAGATGCTTCAGAGCCATCAGAGCTGAGGCGAGTAGTGATCAAGTATATGCAGAAAGGGTATGGGATCTTTGATAGCCAAAATCGAGCACTGTCTGCTCAAAACATGCTTTGAGCGAGTGATGTTTGATGGGACAAACGTTATTCATTTGGCTCCTGAGTGGGAGGTTGTAAGGGAAGGGCAGGACAGGAAGCAGACAATAAACGTAGCCGAGGCTAATGAATGTACCAACGAGTCTATGGCAGCTCAGAATGTCTGGCAGCAGGGGATGCTAGCCATCCATTTTCATGTTTGTAATCGGCAAGCTCCCGTGTAAACTTTTGGGTACCCTAAAGGACTATGCTCATCTACCTCAAGCTATGCACATGGACCCTCGGTAACTTCCAGCCATATTTCCACTTTAACGCTTGTACGTGACATTAGTGAGCAAATTTTACCCTAGGTTCGGATCATGCTTAAATGAATATCAGTGGGCTGGACGGCGCAAACGCCACCGGCCCTCAGATAGCCCTCGGGCCCCGTTGCTCATACGCTTCAGCTTCAGAGAGTCGGTACCTATTGCAAAATGCTACCATTTAGGTCGCCGCAGCAGAGATCATCGCTTTCCGGGAATTTAGAGCGAAGGTGAATTCAAGCTAAAGTTCTTAGAGTACCGGTACCCTCAATCCGAAAGAATATTGGGCCGCTATGTCACACGGGGAGCAATCGCGCCCTAAGCCACATACGATGTTCAGTGGTAGCCCGCACCCGCACCCGCACCCGCACCCGGAGTCGGAGCCGCATAGCCACGTCAAGCACGTAATGTTCGGGGAAATCAATCATCGATATTTCGAAAGGGTGAGTATAAGTCCTTGAACGTATTTCATTGGAACCAGGGCTACTAACAGCACCACAAAGGGTCAATACATGTTGAAGCTTAGCACCAGCAATTTATTTTGATACTACACCTCAGCCAAGTTTGACTGCCATTTCCCTGGATACTTAATGTCTTTCTCAATACCACGCAAGAGCACATTCTTCCATAAGAAACCGATTCTCACGGAGAAGAATCTGCCAAGTCAAAAAGGCAAGGTAAGGACGGCCTCTACTCATCCACTTGGTTTCCTACCAATCTTTGTACAACGAACCGATCCTTTCACCGACCGATTTCCCTACTAATATTTGCCATGGAAGCAAGGTCTTCATAATTACCGGTGCCTCTGGTGGGATCGGCAAAGAGATCACCTCAATTCTATACGGCGCCAACGCAAAGGTTTATCTGGCAACTCGGTCTGAGGCAAAAACAACCGCAACTATCACTGATATTCGCAAAGCGCACCCTCATTCCTCTGGGGAACTCATTCATCTTCCCCTTCATCTCGATGATCTTTCCACAATTAAGGCCTCAGTAGAGCGCTTCCTCGCTGCAGAAAATCGCCTCGATGTTCTCTGGAACAATGCCGGCGTAATGGTTCCTCCGCAGGGCTCAACTTCCGTGCAGGGCCACGAGTTACAGTATGGCGTGAACTGCCTTGGGCACTTTCTCTTTACACGGCTGTTGCATCCTTTGCTTGTGGAGACCGTAAAGCAGGAAGCAAGGCAGAGAAGGGACTCTGTGAGGGTTATCTGGGTTTCGTCCAGTGCGGCGGATCATGTCTCAAAGCCGGCGATTGACTTCGAGAATATGGATTACCGGTACTATGACGAGGGAATTTGGAGTAAGTACGCCAGAAGCAAGGCTGGGAATGTTTTACAGGCCGTTGAGTATGCTCGGCGGGCGGGAGCGGAAGGAATTATTAGCTTGGTAGGCCCAGGATTCGTCCTATTCTCATCTCTTGAATCCGGTTGCGTGTGAGCACCAAATATTAACACAGCAAGATAGACGCTTAATCCGGGAAACTTCCTCACGGGTTTGCAGGGAACGATGCCTAGATGGCAGGTTGCGCTGTTTGTATGCTGTCAATCCAATGGCGTTTTGTCTTGACTGAAGCTAACTTATCACAAAGAAAATGGTCGCCCAAGACCCCAAAAACGGGGCCTACACTGAGCTATTTGCAGGCCTTGACGAGTCAATCACTCGGAAGGATAACGGAGGCTGGGGTATGTACACCATATACTGTGCCGATGCTCGGGGACTGATGAGAGCTAATCGATCTTCGCTAAAGTCTCACCTTACGGCAAATTGGAATCAGTTCGTGAGGACCTTCGTGACCCAGCGCTTGGGAAAATGTTTTGGGAATGGTGTGAAGAGCAAGTTCAGGCTTTTCTGTAAGACAGAGCTGTGATTGGCCAGTATATTAGTTGATAAATATTGTCTATCATAGCCATAGAAATATTTTCGTGCAATGTGTGTAATGTGGACGAATGCCCCTTTTTTTAATTCTAAGCTAAGTGACAACAACCACCTGAGAGTACAGAAATGGTTGAATATACATGCCGTAGAAATTGCGCATGTTGATTCATCATCGGGAATATCTCACCGTTCTCGTGAACCGGCCGTGCAGCTAACCAAACCGGCGGCAAGGTGCCTTTTTCATAGCTGGCCTTAACAGAAATGCGGCCAGAGCTAGGCCAATACATGGAATGTATGAGGGTTGTGGACTAACAGGGAGCGTGCTTCTGGACACCAAATGTCCACTACCTATTAGTAACTTGCCCAAACGGCACGTCCTCTACTAATACACTAGCAGAAATTTGGCAATATCTCTAATGATTTGCACAGAGGAGGCGAACCCGCTCTTTTTTAGTATTTGTGTGAGAGCGTGAAACACACTCGAATGCGTCCCCAATGTAAAATGCGGCCGCCCGCGGCCGCAGCTGAAGACCGCATTATTACCTATGGTCATGAATGCATTTGTCAGCAATCATACCACAAAATAGGAAGGAGGAGAAAAGAGTCGGTAACTCCTCACAACACGATGGGCGGCAGGCCTTGCTTAGAGGGTAAGCATGGCGTTGGGTCACCGAATATTGATGTGGAAGAGGTAAGGGGCCTTGCCGAGCTCAAAATATGTTTAAATTCTATCAAATTTCCAACCGTTGCCGGCATTCATTGCTTCGTTATCAAAATTACCTTCCCTGATCCTCTCTACTAGTGCAACCATCCTCGGGTGAAAGAAAGAGTTTCAAAAAATAACCCATATCTGATATAGTTGAAGATGGTTGAAATCGCCGTCATTGGGGCCGGTATGTTATACATTTGTCCTCAGCGGGCATCGAGACGCACGGGATCATTCTAATCTCTCGAAAGGAGCCGCAGGATTACCCACCCTCAAGAATCTCCTCGAAGAAGGCTTCAAGGCAACGGCTTTCGACCGGAATACTGAAATCGGCGGTATTTGGAATATGCGCGAGGATGATCAACCCTCGGTCCTTGAAAGTGAGGAAACACCATCCATCATGTTGTTTTGTTCCTCGGATCCTCCTTCGCAGTTGGAATTGGTGACTTATAAATCTTGGGCGGTTAATAATCTTATTCTCACTTCAGGCACGATTGCGAACAACTCCACCGATTTCGTATTATACCTCCCGGTGAATACTTTATAATCGTTCTGCAGCTGATCTAATCTCTTCTTGGCCAGGGCTGCTATACGGACTTTCCCTATCCTAATGGTAGGCCATGCTTCTCAATCTCCACGGAGTGGGATTCATGAACTCTTTTCTACGTAGATTCCGCAACATATGCATCTGCCCGCGAGGTCTCGCTCTACCTCCGTGCCTACGCCGACCACTTCGATCTTTTCCCGCACATTCGACTCGGAACTACAATCCACCGCGCAAAGCTGACCACCATGGAAGGAATTGAGAAATGGGAACTGGCGATCACGCAAGACAGCTCGTCAAAGGAAGAGCTTCTCTACTTTGACAGGCTCGTTGTGGCGTCCGGCTCGTTCTCGACCCCTTCTCAACCAACGATACCTGGCCTGGACCGATTTGAGGGCCGACTCATGCATAGTGCGGCTTATAAAAGGTATTATTCAATGTTTTTACTACTACGCTGTACGTGATAATTAAAATTGGAGTGCCTCATGCTGATTACACTATCACGTGTTTTCTAGACCTGCAGATTTCAATGGACTTAGGGTACTGGTTGTAGGGACAGGGAACACGGCAGCAGACGTGGTTGCAACCTTGAAAGGACATGCAAGGCAGGTCTACTGGTCCCATAGACGCGGGGCCTTGATTGTAAGCTCAATTCATCCAATGGACCCACTAAAGTAGGGAGTAGTCGATAACGTTTCCGTCGATTAGCTCCCTCGGAAAATAAAGCAGATGCCACTCGACCATACATTGACGTACCGTTCTACCCGCTTAGGCGACGCGCTGGCCGCCTATTTTCCTGACTTTGCTGAAAGATTGATGATAAGGACATTGGAGAAGCTTCAGAATACAGTTTTTAATATTCCCTCCGAGTGGGATCTGAAACCTGTTCCTTTGCTACGACACGCACTACCCATTATCACAGACGATCTTGTCGTGGAGCTGGAGGCCGCCCGGGCGATGAGTGTTCCTAAAATTAAACGGGTGATAGGAAAAGGAGCAGTTCAGCTCGAAGATGACACCGTTCTGGATGAGATCGACGCGATCGTGTTTTGTACGGGGTACCATAAGACCGACTGGGCGCTTGTTGGCGACGAGCTGGACCCGACGCGCCACACAACGCCTCGATGGGGTTCTGCAAATTGCTCCACCAATCACCAGCTTCCCCGCTTGTACCAGAACATATTCTCTCTCGATCGACCACACTCACTTGCATATATCGGCGTCTTTTCAGGCCTGATCTCTGGCTTTACCATGTCTGATTTAGCATCAATGGCGCTTGCGCAGGTGTGGAAGGGTAACAGCGCTCTACCCTCTGCGGCTGAGATGAACAACCACGTCAACATGCATCACAATTGGCTCTGTCAGATTGCGGAAAATGGATCTTGCTCACCGCATACCCTGGACTTTCGCAGATGGTCAGCGTGGGCTCATGATACAGCCGGAACAGCTGTCAACACAAAACTAGGGTATGGGATAGGCGGATGGTGGTTCTGGCTCCGCGATCGAAGTTTCTGTTACACGTTGATGACAGGGGTAATGTCTCCTTTTATATTTCGGCTGTTTCCAGGGGACAAACGAAAAGCTTGGAAGGGGGCACGCGAGGCAATTGAGGCGCTTAACAGGGAGAGGAAGGGCAGAATCTTCCGGTGGCATGGCGCATCGAATAGATAAGTATTTGATTTGGAATGTCGGGGTGGATCAATCTGGAGATGATAGATTTGACGCAGGGCGGGGCCCGGCTCATTTTCCATCCAAAACTGTTCCGTATAATTTGCCTCTAGCTTCAAATCATCTGCTACCTTTTTAATGCCGGAATACGTAGTCTAGATCTAGCGGGTTTATTTAATGTATAATATGCTTACACGATATGCATTCAGATTAAGCTTCTACTGATACTGGGCATATGCCACGGCGCAGATGGTTGCAAAGGCCTCTTATCCTTGTATAGAGATCGTATGCCCTTTGGTATGTCTCTAAAGTTACGGCAAAATGCGTCCCTAAACATTTGTCTCAGGACTACTCGCCAAGAAAGGCGCTCGTGAGCTTCCATAAGGTTTCCGCACGAAACTGAAGGCACTCGCAATATTGCCCAGATTCGTCATAACCTGGCCAGGGCGAAGAATGACTATTGGAGTTCACGGTGCAGCGCAGCCAGTTCCTGGCCGTAAAGAGTTATACTGTGGCCAGATCTTGCGACTGTACTCGGGTTTTCACCGCGGCTTTCTAGGCTATCAGACTTGACCCCGCCATTAGGCGCATGCCGATGAGCGACCGACCTGAGTAGAATGATCCACACATCATTGAAGCCAGGCTCCTGCGCCTCCCCTTGTTGCTGTAGATGGGCCGTCCTCACTAGCAAAGGTAACACTTGTTGCACTAGCAATGAGTGTCCCAAGAAGTTCGTGCCAGATTGGCTCTCGTACCCGTCCTTTGTAGCCACTGGCGGAACCGCCAAAATGGCCGCAAGCAAGACCAAAATATCCAACCATGGAGGTGTCTGCGTTTGTGTTCTTGTGCCAAGAGAAATTGGCTTGCAGCCTTCGCAACTGAATTCAATGAGGTGAGGTCAAGCCCGATTGGTTTCATGAAATTGTACCAGGACACTGGCAGAGGCGTCGAATGTGATCATTTTCTGAAGCGAGACCTCGGCGTTTTCTAGGTCTTCATTCATTGCGGCATTCAGCTCATAAAAAGGTGTGACTTTTGCATCCTCCCCTTTCATTTATGCAGGAGATATAGCTTCAAAGATGGAAGAAAGACATGCGGATCCTGGATGGGAAATCTTGTGAAGTGGCGATGGCCTGATCTCTATCAAAGTGGGAGGTGAATGATAGGACGGTATTCTCCCGGGTGATGAGCGATATCACCTCAGAGCAGAATAACTTGACTCTCCGAGGTACGGGCCAGAGCACTGATGTGGTTATGGGCTATTTCGAGAGTGTAAGTAATCACTGTCATCACGGGATAAAGATACTATGTCCGTTTGACCTCAGCAGGTAAAGACTTCCACCTTGAAAAATGTCGAGAGCCCGAAAACCCCAAATTTTCAAGGCACCACTGAAATCCAGATCGACAAAGTTGTGTCCAGTGAAGGCATCAGCAGTCACCAGAGCGTCCGCATTTTGAGGATATCCTTGGGAAGTAGCTTTATCGAGCTTGAATCCAGGGCCAACAACTAGCTCCGTGGATGGCGGGAATAGGGAGGGGTCCCCAGTATGGTCCATATGGCGATGGGACCAGATGATAGTGTTAATCGATTCCAAGGGGATGTTGGCCTTGCAAACTTGATCAGCTATATCTTGCTCAATCTCCACAACTGCCTTGACAGATTCGATTTGGCCCAGAACTTGCATATTTACCGTCAGTATTCATGGTTCCTTCTCATCTGCAAAACGGCTAAATGACCCCATTCAAGCCATGGTGATAGTCTTGCTTAGTAGTGGGTAGTTAGCTTCTCCTTCCAATCCTTTCGAAGTCCTAGGTCAAACAGGACCTTTTGGTTCTTCGTCTTATTCTCGATCAAGAAACTGTAACAAGGGATATCAAACAAGTCATGTCCTGATATTGGAGTTTGGAAGATGTAGGCTGTGGGCACCGTCGTTTGTCGAGCATGAATTATCGACACCTCCACGGTTGAGTCCTTGAATTCGGGTAAAATCAATGGATTCGTAACTTTGAGTCAAAAGTTGAATAACCTGAGCTGGCGGAGAGGTCTCGAATGAATAACTAACGTAGAGAATGAGATTCTTCGTGTCTTTTAAAGTGATCGAGTGGTACGTAGAACACGTAAGGAACAGTCTCTTCTCTGAAGAAATCATGTAATCTCCATGGATCAGTTACAGATCGATACTGTTCGACTATTAGAGATTATTAATGAGGTACATGACTATTCATCTTAGATAACGAGATCTCTGTTAAATTACAAATCGATTTATAATCTATTTGGGTAAATGAAGTTGAATAGAGACTATAAATGAAGGCATTGTAGTAATCCGCTGATTTGAAAGCAGAGATCGGTTCAGTTTGTAAGTTGACGTCTTTGGAAAAAATCCTCGACAGACTGAATTCATGCCCATGTCGTGGTCCCGATAATTTCGAAGCCGCACCTGCAGTCGCATTCTCACTTTCCTTCAAAAAAGGGGTCAGTAGATACATGAAAGGACGATTGGCGCGAATGGAGCCAAAATTATTTGCGATCAACTCTCGATAGGACTCCCGCAGTGACGCAGATCAGGAAGTACCATCGATGCGGAACCGGGCCACATACCTTCGTCCATATCAAAATTACCAATGAGTCCTTTGACCACTTGCGTACAATAATGCCTGAATCTGGGAATTAGTGTTATTATCGAGTACGTGGTAGCGAGGTAGTCGTGCTAGATAATTTTGCCTATGCAAACGGCACTTGAGCATCCATCCACAGAGACATGTCGAAACCGTAGAATTGATGGAATGAAAGAATGAGAGGCACTGATTACATCCGTTGGGATTATTCATGTCGTAATGTCCATCTGTATTTCCGGTTAGAAGGGCGCGGTAGCAAAAACTGTTGATATTCCATTGGTGGACCAGTGCTTCTCACTCACCAGTGGTTTGGACTAATGCTATCTAACTAACCGGAAAGATAAACATAGCTAGTTCACTAGCCAGTTAGTTATTTAGTTAGTTTACTAGTTAGCCTAACTAGGTTCAGTTACTTGACTCAGCAGGAGTGACGATCACGACTTTTCGAGCAGAGCAACTCCGTTACGCTAATCGGACTGGAGTCTCTTATGTGTCATGACATGGTGTATGCAGTATCTCATTGTAATATTTTCTAGAAAAGTCGGTGGGGAGTCTACAACGCCGATTTATGGAATTTTGTAGCTCACCCTATACAGTACGGATGGGTATATGAATTCATTTACGCTGACACCTCACAAGTTTGTTTACCCAACGAGATCAGAATACGAATCCGTACGCAGTGTAATAAGTAGGCTCTGGTTTATAATCCAACTTCGCGAAGGATATGCAGCATACAACACCTATATATCAAAGTACGTTCAGATGTCATCTACAACTTCTTAAACGAATTTGGAGCCCCGTTAGGGCCTGCCAGGCCCTGATAATCGTTGATGATGTCAGGCTGCCCGCATGGCGGGATGATAATGACTTTGCAAATGAGACTAATAAACTGCTCGGTGTTAATTAGAAGTGCGAGAATTTGGGTAATTCTCAATCCAAGAATTTGCGAAATGACTTTGTTACGAATTTGACTAGCTGAGCGTTTCCTTATCTTGGACTCGAGCTGGAACGGTGATGGTTTGGAAGATCATCCGTTGTGAGTATAGATTTAAGGAAAGGAATTGGTTCTAGGGTTTGAGGATTCGATCGTGATGGACTTGTGGTGAGCTGCTGGAGGATAGGTACATACGTTGTCGATGGCAGGGTGGGGTGGTGGTGGCTGGCGACGGACGGGGAGGCTGATGCGAGAGGGCTGATGAAAACAAACGTGATCCTTGGTCGGGCCTAGTAGATGGCGGGCAAGCGCGGGAGTCAATGGAGCATTGCTCAGCTGTGTAAAGGTCGGTTTGTGGTGGTTGAGATTATGCTTGGGTAAAAGCGTCGAGAGTCGTCTTCTTGTGTTGTTGGCTCTTCGAGGGAAAACAGGGGCCAAGGGCTTCCTGGTGAGGTAGAGAGGGGTTTTATCCGTGGAATAGGAGAGCATGTCGGCGGAGTCGGGATTTTTGAAGTCACAGCAGACAATCTTCCATATGCAATCCGCTCTATGCAGTTGCTGTAAGTCTTGGAAAAGTGCGCGCTGGGGGCTATTCGGCTGACTGACACGCAAAGCAGCAAGCCAGGCTGCCAGTTGAGAAGGGCTGGTAATGAAAGCCATTCTTGACCAGCTGTAGCGGGGTGACACCACCGAGCATTTGTCCTACAATGACAGACCTCCGGTGGCGATGGTGGAAGAGGTGGTTGAGATAATGGAATTCTCTGGCGTGGTGCGTTGTGGGGTAGTGGAGTTAAGGAACTCGCGGATTTGGAGAGAGAGGACGGTCGGCGGAGAGGTAGGAATCCCTTCCTGCCTGCCCTGGGATCTGGAGTCTCAGGGTTCATCCTTTTGTCTATCAGCACAGTCAAGTTTCAGTCGCTCTCGAAACCGGCTTGATCACGCTTTCCCCTCGTACAGCCCACCTGTATATATTGGGGGCCAGCCAACACAGTATTCACTATCTGCGTGGTAAAATTTCTGGATATGACGAAGCGATTCCTATCCTGCGTCCCTTATTTGGCCTCGATGGCCCTGAGAGAAGAGCTTGCTCATATCACGCTTTCTAGGCCGTCGATAAATTTTATGGTCTACCACAGACCAACAAAGGGTTCAATGAGTGATTTGGTGGACCTTGTGAGATAAAGGCATGTTTTTGACACAATTTGCTGTATCTATAGAGCGAACATGATATGAATGCCCACTATAACTACCTTATGTCCTACAGCCGCAAGCGTGAGATATTACCCGAGTGTCTTCGCAAGACCCGATGGCCGCTAAACATCCTTCCTAAACTTGAGTCAACCGTTCTCTGGGTGGGCAGAAAGATATTTCACAGCAGTCAAAATCCTAATAATTAACATGGTCCAGTAGTGGACCAAAATTGGAGTGCCAAAACGCTAGCATGGCTATCGGATGCTTGGTTGGAACCCGGAGCAACGTGGACTCTGTTCCTCTACACCGGATGCCAGAAATAGAGCACCCACGTAAATTTCACAGAAATTCTTTTCGAAAACTCGTTTCTTCGACGAGAGCCATGCAACGGGGGTGGCTGTCTATTCTGGCAATAAAAACCTCACCAACGCTGCTGGCGTAATTGCAGGTATTTTTCCAGCTGAAAGAAGAGGTAGTGGTATAGCTATTTTCTCCGACAGTATACCTTGATCTTTCTCCAATCATCCGAACGGATTCTGAATAAGTTGATTTATAGCACCCTTTACTGATCCAGCTCTAGGACTGATTGTTGGTGGCTTTGTTAGTGAAGTTGCAGGTTGGCGATGGGTCTGCGAGATCAATGCCATCCTTTCAGGATCACTCGCCATTCTGGGCACATTGGCCATCCTCGAGACATACGCACCGGTACTACTGTTGGAAAGAGCAAATAAGCTGACTGTGGCTAGTTGCGTACCAAATGGAGAAGGAAAAGTGTATCGAAGCTTATACGGTAATTTCCGTTGATCAAGTATGTGAGTAGTTTGCTAATGCAAAAGTCCTTCAGAAAAGACGAAGCAGATCGAGATAAAAAAAAACTGTTCATCACATCACTCCCTCGGCCGTGGGTCTTTCTTTTCAGGGAATTTCTTTCATTCTCTCTTGCAGTATATCTTTTAATTGTGTACAGGACTCTGTACATGTTCTTCGCAGGCTTCCCATTGTTTACTGTGAGCAACGAAGTTGGGGTGCTGGAATCACCGGTCTATCCTTTTCAGGTCTACTAGGAGGGACCACCCTCGGCAGTTCGTACTATAGATTCTGTGAGATTCCATGCCACTAATTTCCGAAGTTAATACTAAATATCCTCGTAACTAGCCGATGACCCTCGCTACATTAGTCTGCTCCGGAAACATCAAGAAAAATACCCCAACACGCCACTCCCACCGGAATCTCGGCTTACCCCCGCGATGCTAGGCGGAATAATTCTTCCGCTTGGACTTTTCTGGTTTGCTTAGACGTGCCAGCCTAGTGTTCACTAGAGCGTGAGTATTCTGTCTAACATTCCTTTTGGAATGGGATTAGTCCTTATATTCCTGGGTTTGTTTGTGTGTTCCCTCAATCTGAGGCACACCCCATGGCCTTACTAATATCAAATGATTTAGACATATATAGCGGATGTGTATACTCTAGATGCTGCGTCGGCATTAGCTTTAAACTCAATGCTCCGCAGTCTGTTTGGTGTGGCCTTTCCGTGAGGATCTCCGTTACTGAGTGCTTACATAATGCTAACACGCTCTTCGTCTAGCCTTTTCAAAACCACCATGTACAACCATCTTGGTATTGTAAGTCTTCCACACTGACTGTGGGCCATATACCTTCTCTGCCCTGATCTTATTAATGAAGACCTAGAGATCTCCAAGTCCTAACATAAAAGAAAAAGAACTGACCGGGGCCAATAATCTAGCTAACTTATCACAAAGATGCTAGTTCCTCAAACAGTAACCCGTATAACTATTCTAATTAAGATCCGTCTCAATACAATGAGTCCAGTACATGAGCACGGGCTAACCTCCATTCATCCATACCCTTGCTAAATAGCCAGGCAGAATCCCAGGAAGCATTCAGAGTCCTTAGGCAGCGTCACAATTTGCACCTCATGGAACGGCGTAGATGGTAGCAGAGCTTTGTTATCAAATGTTTCGCGAGTTATGGATTCTACAGAATCGAATATCGTCGAGAGAGGCGAATCCATTTCGTTGACAGGGATGGTTCCAGCCGGGAGCGTAGAACCAATTGCTGTGTATTTATCTCCGGTTGGGTTCTCTAGAGCTAGATGTAATGCGAATGATATCCGATTCTCGGTAGATAAATCTACCCAGAACAACACCACAAGTCATGAATGGGATTTTTATTATCTTCACTCACCCACTACATCTCTTGTTCTCCCAGTTGCTCGAAGTTAACATTCCAGAGTAGAAGCACTATAAGCCATTTCCTTTCAGCAGCATTAGCCTGGATGGTTATGGCGAATCCGTCTGTTAACTTGATTGGCTCCTTCGAATTCCTTCGTCATATTTTATTTAACGAAATATACATTTTTTCGGTCATTAGTATCACCTCTGATGAATTGGATGTTTGTGCGACTTTGCCATGTTGCAAGATTCTATTCTATGGTACCGCCCCAGACCTACTTCCTGACTTGAAAAATTGTGGATATACAGTTCGCAATTCCTGCAGACTTTGTATCTGATATTGACATGCCTGTGTCGCGGGTATTGGCAAGCCCCATTCCAGTAGGTGAGCTGCAGTCCATCCTGCTTGGTATGCACCTACACAATTTCTGTACGAATCGTCTCCTTGCAATTAGAATTGGATTCCAAAGCAGTCGCGCATCACTTACCAACGAAATAACAACTCTCATTTTTCTGAACACCGGCTTCCCTCATAGCCTTCTTAAACATATCGATATGTGGTTTCGAAGTGAAGGGTGTTTCAGAGTAGTTGCAATAAGTTAAACCCTCAAACAAATCATCAACACCGAGCAGCCTGACAACCCTCTCTCCATGCGTCTTATAGGCGTTTGTTAGCAGCCAGAGGCGGACTTCCGTCGTGTCGATGTCTTCCAGTAATCGTCGGAGCTCTGGATCAGGTTTCATAATATCCTCAAGCGGGAGAGCATCATCGACACTGACATTGTACACCATGGGATCGATCTGATGGTGTCGCACCAATCCTTCGATTGCCTGGCCATAGCGTTTGTAGTAGACTTGATGCAAGAGGATAGCATTTTCGTGGGAGAGACCAAGGTGTTTCTTGAAATAACAGTCAATTAGACCTGATAAGACTTCATGGACTTTGAGGTCTAAATTTGCCGTTGTATTAGACGGTGTCACTCCACAGGCCATACCTGACAGAACTTACGTCGCGAATACAAGCAATTGTCTATATCGCTATTAAATATCAGGAAAGCCCTATCCGAATTTGGAGGACACCACTCACAAAAATAGCACAGGCTTTTCAGGATCAGTACCGTCGGCGTGCTTTGGAAGGTGTACCATAGCCATTCCAACGGGCCGAAAATCATTAGAAGAAGAACGAGGAATGCCAGATGTACTCTGACTGCTACCTTATAGGTCCCAACGCCTGACTACCTTTGATCACAAAAGGTTGGACATGTACTAGACTCGCTTTTCAATACTCTGAGTCATTTCAATATTTGATTGCGAATTCTCCTGTGCTGCATGCGGCCGCAACCTGGCCGCTCGTGCATAAGAGGTAGTTTATGATACGATCTGACGATATTAGGTCACCTTCGTGGACCTATTCTACTGATCGATTCTTAACTTATTCATCCTTCACACATTCCTCAATGATGCTTTGCGAAACAATCAGGGTAAATAAGGAAGCATGGCATGGCATCATGACACACTTTCTCAGCGAATTCCAAACCGATTGATAATCAGACAAATGTAGTGTACGGTGTTATCAGGGGTCTGACAGAGTTCGTTCGCGTTTTCTGACAATTTCAACTCTGCGCATGAGGCCAATACTCTAAATCTTAGATGCTTCTTACATACTACAACTATCATACCCATGCAACGCAACTGCTTTTAATTGAGGAAGAATTTTTCTATACTACAAAACCTCTCAATTGCTGTCGAAGTAATTTTTGAACCCATGGTATGCGAATGTAGGTGCGGGTGCGGGTGCGGGTGCGGGTGCGGGTGCGGGTGCGGGTGCAAGTGGGGTGCAGGTGCGGGTGCAAATATAGACATGACGGGACCTGCTGTTTGTCAACCTTTTCTTGAATCAAAATTACAATCCTGCATAAATTATGAAAAGAGAAAATCTTCTCTGAATCATGAATATAGGTCATTTGGAACCGCGATCCGACTCACACGGTTTTTGGAGTCGAACCTGAGGTTCGGAACCTCAGGTCCCTCAAACAGTGCAAACATACGATTTCAAGATTATGAATGTTTTAAATGGTGTATCGGAGCATATTATATAGTATATTCTCAGTGTATTAGGGACTAAAATAAAGATTTGAAAATGTAGATAAAATCATCATTTTTAATTAGTCCGACCGGTAAATCCTAATATTTTGGTAAATCCTAATATTTGGGTGTAATAAATTTTTGGTGTTTATGGCCGAAATATACTAGGTGTGCTTTGATGGAGAATATATATTTTCAAGTCAAAATATCAAATTCCGGCAAGTACCGACGACTGTATACTACCGAAATAATTAGGAATATCAATATTGACTAGATTTTTCTAGTAATTTCGTCATTAAAACGAATATTACTTAGTATATATCAAGATACTGTCGTAAATACTTTTCTATAACGCGTGACGGAACGTATGTTACGTATAATTCTTAAGAGGTTTATGCATTTAAGAGGAAATTCTTGGCAAAATTATGTCAACCTCAATTGGTTGCTACTCGTACCAAAACAAGGATGAACATCACATCAATTGTTTTCTAGATGATGTAACACTTTTATTTTGCGAATCTAAGCTATTTATGTTGTCATCAGGCACCAAAATATTCAACATCCGTGGACCTCCAAGTTCATGGGTATTTCAACCCCCATGAGCGCCCTCATTTTACGCCAATCAATCAATCATACACTCAATTGCTCCCCTTTTGATTCAGTTGCCCTGATTGGCCAATTTCCAAGTACTCCGTAGCTGTCACATAGTCGATATTATACAATTCAGGGTCTTTTAGGTTCGAATCAGGTTCGAACCCGATAGAGTCGCGATCCGATTCAGGCTCCAAAAACTAGAACCTGAGAACCTCAGGGTCAGGTTCGAGGTTCCAACGTCTGGACCCGAGTCGGACCACGCCGCGGTCTAATCTGCACAATCGGAGAGATTGGCTGCATTAATATGTCATGTCCTGAAGGCTATGACGCCGTCGCGCGACACGAACTATTAGTTGTATATGGCCAATAAATGAGTCAGACAAGAGGAAGGGGAAATATAATGACGATCTTGAAGTGGATTTTAGGCCTCGATCGATGTACAGCATGACCTAGGCCAAGGACTGTGAAAGCCATGGCTAGTCTGCACCTCGCTGCACTTGGCCCCACTTTGTAAAGGGGAAAATCCAGGCTTCGAGAGTATCTTATTAGACCAGATATGATGAACCAACAATCTGAAGATAAAAAGCGAGAGAAGCTGAACAGTGAGAAAATCAGTAGGATGATGCAGGGCGGTGGCAGAATGGTAATTTGCGAGGAAAGACCGCCACCCAATTCATGAGCCAGTTGAAAACTGACAAAAACAGAAAATATGGAAGTATTCAATTGAATATTATTATATGAGGCCTAGATCATATGAGAAGGGAATTATCCCAATATTCTTGCAACTGTCAAAAGCCGGCTATCAGGCCACTGCAAATTAGTATCGGTTGTGGTCTCTCACTATAGGAAATGCTTGTCAACATCCAATAATGTAACCGCAATACAGGCACAAAGTAGACTAGCAGAATATTCTAGCTTTGGAACCGCCGACTTAGTTAGCCATGAACATGCCTTTTAGAGACTTCATGGTCATAATACGCTGTATATACGCCAATTTCATTCTACTCACAGCGAAATAAATGTGCAATACTGCGTAGACCATACTAACACCCCAAAACGCAGTGCCGAGGTTACATCTTGCCTCTTTGCTTTCTGCCTAATTTGCAGCGCCAATGTCCCTGTAACCCTACGAAATGCACCCCAATGTTTCCTGTGGGTGGGCTGACACAGTCAATTGTGTCTTCAAAATTATTTCCATAAGCTTACCTCGGGATTGAACTCTCCTAGGGGTGCTGTTTGTGCTTGTGTTGATGAGGTGAGAATATAGTAATCCGCTCTGCGCGCCTCCCACTCATCCATTCTGTTCCATGATATATGAACAATTTAAATTGAATACCTTATTCTAGTTAAGCCACTATTGAAAAGTGTTCAAATTCAGTAAAATCCCCGAGAAGACTTTATTGAAACTAGTGTTCCTTGATTCGAAAAAACATATAAATTCCGTCGGATCTCCATCCTCCCATCCCTCAGCTTCCCATTCAACCCTACTTTGCAATCAAGTTCTAATCAATTCATTCCCAACACTCTGACTTGAAAAATGAAGTTTCAGCAGTTTATGAGTGCTGCAGCTCTTGTGGGCCATGCTAGTGCCTTTTATGGCAAGTTGGCTGCCTCCGGTTATGAAGCCAACGAGGGTGGTACCTTCCAAATCATCTACCTAACCGACTACAATACCGGCTCAACCTATTCAGGAACCCTTCATGGAGGCTTCAATTCCTGTACCAGCAATGAATGTTCAGTTGGGTAAGCTTTCAGCGACTTTCCCGGCAGTGAGAGATACAAGTATTCTTATCTGTGATCAGGTTCTCTGAGACAAGCCCTGGTGGCTACGAGTTTAGTGCCAAGTTGTGGCGGACAAGCGACGGTTGCCACAACATTGACTTTGAGGGAGGTCTGAATTCTCACCATGGCTATTGCTGCGGCTCTCTGCCCTGTGACATCAATGCCTAATTTTCGGGCGGTAGGCTGTCTTGTCTTATGTCTATTAGGCGTAACACTCGAAAATGATGGAGATTTTTACTGATAATGAGATCTAGGAGCTTCGCTATGAAAAGAGCGTGGGAAGGAGGCTTAGGGTAAATCAGCAGTAAAGCAGCATTGATTTGTGAATTGGATTATGGATTCCGTGACGTGATTGAGCTGGATCATTCTTCCTCTATGTGTCCTCTCAAATGAGGAGACTCTCCATATAGGGTTTGCTTCATACCGCAAAATACCCACCGTCTCTTGCATTATTTGAGCGGAAAATAGACAATGGCATAGGTCTGTACTTGTATCTTGAATTCTCAACAAAGCGGTACTACAGTGTCGGGGTCTACAAAGACTAGGTAGAGATACATGGAGCTGCTGGAACAGACATCAGGCATAAGATTTAGGACTATAAGGAGTATTTATGTGCTGTGGACTTTTGGAAGAACAGTATCAATATGCACTCAAGATTCACACATTGTGGGAAGGGTACTTGGTGTTGTGAGTCCTTTCGACCCACCCATCGGCCTTCCTTAAATCCGAGTCAATCAGGCGAGGAGCTCCTGTGTAGGCTGTAAGCAAGCTTCTTCTTGCAGAGAGGCGCAATTGAAAAATGTAATTTCAATTGACTTTGTACCTAACAATTACAAAAGAGCGATATGTATGATTAATCAATATTAATAAGATCTTAGGCAACAAAATATTTAGAGATTCGATGGAATATATGGGTGAAGCGCGGAAGCGTGATCTAAATAAAATCCAGCTAGGCCGGGAGCTGTGTCCAAAAATCTTAGAGAAGAAAACTTCTCTACATGCGTCGCCCTGCATCAATATGCAAAGTTCTCAGATACACGAGACCCATATCGGGTGTTGGAACTACAAAGGGTTCAAATTCTGGACAAAGCTTAGTCGTAAGGCCAAAACTCTATTTATGCTAGGGCTTTGCCTGAGATTCAATGCAGACAGATAATTCTTGGCCTGAAGGCTCCACTGTGCTTTCGCTCTTCCGTCATCGGTCATTGGCCTGTGACAATGTTATATTTTTGAAGTTTTTAAACTATCAATGATTTGTAGAATATTTCGGAACACAATCTTCACAAGGGCAAAAGACGTATTTTATCTCTGGATTGGTGCTCAATAGGTAAATATAGGACTATTCCTTAGAGTTTTCACTTACAAGCAAGGGAGGCTATTCAAGGGTTCTCTGCCCTACCTTGATGCCTGTATTCCTGAAGTGCCTATTAATATTAGGAACCGTCTAACAGAAGACTTAGTTCTCAAATAAATTAAAACCTATAATATGCTAGAGCTAGGTTAGATGTCAAGCTTAAAGTGAAGTTCTAAAGACATCTAACATTAGCCACTCCACCTTAATAAATAGCTACTTATTTAGTCCTGTCTACGACTAGTGCTGTGTCGTATTAGATCCTCTATCCATTAGAGAATATATCTTGATAATCAATCTTTATTTTAGTAAATGATATGATGTCTAAATTTTGTGCCACCGCTAAGCTACTTTGTTGTCATGAAATAATTTTAATATGTATGTTCCACTTTTTAAAGATTCAGCGTGGCCAAATATGACAATTCAAGTTTTACATAAATGATCAAGATCAGAATTTTCAATCATTTCTTGATACTGGCAAGTGAGAGGTTCAGTCATGAAGCCCAACCCGCTTTCTCTTTGCTGCACATGTAATTTGAGGCTTTCTGGGAAGAAGTCCAATCGTTCACCTTGAACATTGACCTTGCAAGTTGTTCTCAAATTTCCTCAAGATTTCCATATCATGCTGTCTGACTCGGTCACAGAGCCAGCAAAAGTAGGACAGCATCTCTTGAATGAGTGATGAATCTGTAGCTAACACTATCAAAACTGATGGCTGGCGGAAGTAGAACTAGACGGGGCTCGCGAACAAATCCTGACACCGCTGCAGCGGTAATGCAGGCCCAAGACATTGCCAGTGGAGCTAAACTAAGCCATCTGCTATCATCGATAATTTCAAGGGCCTGGAGGAGCTCTTCAATCACCGTATACCGAAAAATACATGACTCGGGGGCTTTAGCGATGTTATCAAAAATGTGAAACACAGGAACAGGGTTGTTAGATAAAAGTGGCCTGTAGAGAGGGCATTCGGAGGCCCAATGGCTTAGAATTCGATCTTGAGAAATGATCGCCCTAGTATATTGATTCCAGTGATGAACATTTATTCTTAAGACCGCCATAGCTTAACCATGGACTCTGTCCACTCGGTCAAGTAAGGGATAGTAGGGTCAGCGGTGCCGAGATATGGAAGTCTGTACCTTTTGAGATCGAATAGACATAGTGAGTATTCGCTTACAGTGCGATAAGGGCGCACGTCTCTTTTACCATACAGATTACCTACAGTTTCAAAACAGCCCATAACAACATCAGCGCTCTGGCACGTATCGCAGAAAACCAGTTTATCCTCCCCGGCGGTGACATTGCTGATCACCCAGGAGAATTCCGTTCAACCCAGCACCTCCCACTTCCGGCTGAAATCGCACCATCGCCACTTAACGAGGTTCCTCACTTGGTATGCTCATGTCCTACTTCCATTTTTGATGCTATATTTCCTGCCAAATTGAAAGGTGAAGATGCCAAGGTCACCCCGTTCTATGAGCTGAATGCGGCAATAAATGAAGACCTAGAAAACGCGGAGTTCTCCCTTGAGAGAATTTTCCCATTCGACGGCTCTGTCAGCGTTGTGATCATTATTGCTCATGATAGGGGCTTTCTGGACATCTTGCCTTCCTTTCCAAAGAAAATTACTGACTAGGATTCGGAGGGATACAAGGCCACTGGCGCTTGGAAGTTCTTGAAGAATTTTGCTGAAGCTAAAAATGAATAGCCGTGGTCATCGAAGATGAACAAATTTGAACATCATCACTTTATGAGATAGATGCCCACTCACCGTTCCATGCTCATGTAGATGGTTTTCGTTGATGGTATGCGAATCAATATTTGCCTGGTATTTTAACTTCAAAAAGTTCGATTCTTCGTGCGTTGTAAGGGTTAATTATCTGCGTATCAAATCCGAGTCTGTCTATCACTACGTTTGATCACAGTTTCCTAGATTTGGTTCAGATGGCCTATCTAAGGCGTAAATTTACAGACGTAATAGATACTCTTCGGGTGAGAGAGTATTAAACTACAAGTCTTGTCAAACACATCCATTACTAATGCACCCTTTGTTTCTCAATGCTATGACAAACATATTGCGCAGTGGAATTAAACACTAACCAGATTATGGGTGGTGTCAAGAGGCCCTTCTGCTCTTTTATATAGTCAAAGGATGTTTCGGAAACATAACTAAAGCTTAGACAAAAGAAGGGAAAACTCGATTGTGTCAGAAAAATTTGAAAGGCTTGTATTTCAAATCCCCTTTTGACGAAGATTTAATCTGGGGAAATATTTCTTCAAGGTGAATTTAACCCACAGCATTGTGCACTGATGAAAATACATATGACAGACTAATTTGGCTGGCAATGCAGAGATTCCAGTTGGTTGGGAGGAATAGCCAATCAACGCATTTCAGAATTTAAGTAATCAATATAAAAGAATTTGATCGGTAACCCCCAAGAAATTAAACTAAATTTCGTCGTAAGATAAAATGCCGCAAAGAAAGTCATCCCAGTGGCACACTGCCCTTCAACTTAACTCCGTATTGCGTTATCGAAAACTGTAAGTTTGATGTACTTCATTTCCCAGTCATCATCCGACTTGTTTCCCATAGACCTTGCGATAGCAACTGGCCCAAAAGCTGTGTAAGAAGCATTGATTCAGGCCCATGGCGGGCTGTCTTGGGGTCTTGCATGATTCTATAGTACTAATGACCGCACTAAAACCCCTCTGACTGCTTGCTTGGGCTTATCACACGCGGATATCCGCTGTATGACTGGAATATTTGGATCTTAGTCGAATACTGGGTCCATAATTATAGAAGAGGCTTTTTATCGTCAAATAGTCAGTGGGTTCTGTCCAACCATGCGCATTCATGTGACTCACAAAGGTTGAGGCGTCATAGCCAGAGAAAGGAAGGCGACTAAAGTAGAAGCCCAGTTCTGAGGTAATGTTAGATACAGTTAGAGCCTCAAAATGCCACCACATTGAAAAGACTCACAATCCCCAGATCGTTGTACATGGCAGTTGTGAAAAGACTAGGTATAAAGTAGGTTGGAATTGAGTAAAGACTAATTTGTTGGAAATCTCACGGGAAGGCTACGCCGAACAAACTGCGCAATACGGAGTTTGCAGCTAGCGCTGAGGCAGCATGTATAGTATAGACATCCGCAATGTATGTCTTTTCCGCCTGTAACGTTAGTCATATCGTAATACTCGCACAGGATGCTATAAATCATACAAAAAACCCCAAAAATATCATCACTAGTCCCATTCCAAATGGAATATTGGCAAGGATACTAACAATCCAATGAACACTAGGTTGACATGTCCATGCAAACCAGAACAGTCCCAGAGGGAGAAGAACTGCCCCTAACATTGCTGGTGCAAGACGTGATTCTGGCGGGAGCGGTGTGTCAGGATTATGTTCTCGGTGTCTGTGGAGCATGGAAATGTAGCGAGGATTGTCATCTAGTGATGAGAACAGTTAGCTGTAGATCTATAAGCAAAACATGGACACTCACAGAATATGTAGGAAGAACTGCCTAACGTAGTTCCCACTAGTAGACCTAAAAAAGACAGGCCACTGACTCCCTCACTCCACCCCCGTTCCTCACCATAAACAATGGGAAAACTTGCAAAGAACATATACAAAGTTCCATACACAATTGAAAGATATAGTGCGAGACATAATGAGAGAAATTCCTTGAAAAGGAATGCCCAAGGCCGTACAAGCGACGTTCTAAAAAGCTTCCCTATCTCGACGTGTCTCCCTTTTTCTAAGGCCAGTTGATATTAATACAGTATTTCTAAACAGTGTTTTTGGTAAAGGGAATTCACCATATATGCTTCGATACACTGTTCCTTCCCCGTGTGTTAGTCGACTAACCAAATTCAGCTTATTTGCTCTCTCTCGAAGTAGAACCGGTGCGTATGTCTCAGGGATTGCCAATGTGCCCAGAATGGTAAGTACCCCTGAAAGGATGGCATTGACACCACAGACCCATCTCCAACCAGCGGCCTCTCCTAGGAAGCCACCAATGATTGGGCCCAATGTAGGACCGGTAAAGGGTGCTATAAAAACATAAATTAGTTCACTCTTTTAGAAGTACTTGAGGAAGACGAGAATTACCAGCAGAGAATATAGCCATGCCAATACCTCTTTTTTCAGCCGGAAAAATATCTCCAATCACGCCAGCGGCGTTAGTGAGAGGGGAGGCACCGAAAGAACCTTTCAAGAACTATTAGGTTCTTATTTTGTTTCTCACATAGTTAAAATCAGACGAACCTGCCAAGAATCTTAATATAGTCAAAGTCCATATATTTTGCGAAGCGCAGACTGCAGCATTGAAAACGGTGAAAAGAGTATACGTAATAACGAAGAGTCGTCGTCTGCCTAAAACCTCAGACATCTGAGAGCCGAACCAAGATCTAGTCAGCCAAAACCTTCTTGGTATTTCGAATACAATACAATATACCGGAGCCCACAGAAGAGGACCAAACGCATAACCCAGTACAAATGCGCTGATACCCATGATATAAACCTGGGATGGGTAACCGGGGAAGTCTTGCTTAACACTCTGGATGGCTGCAGAATATGACGAAGACGCAAATGAGGCGGCCAAAGTTGTCCACGCTACAAGCCAAGTCACCGTCCCTGCATAAGTTAGAGATCAGTTTGCCAGCAACGCAATGAGAACTGGTATATCGAACATTGATAAGCTGAGGACCATTTCAAAGGGTTCTCTCTATCATCATCGTCTATCCAGTCAACGACGTAGGGGTCCTCCTCGGTGCCAGATCCTTCATACGAATGAGAAATAATTCTCTCCCATGAGGTTGAGTAGTGCCTCCACGGACGGATGTCTAGCGTGTATGCTCTGACCGGCGTTGTCGATTCTGCTCCCATCTTTGCGGGACAATGTTTGTCGAAATAAGATAAAGAAGTAGATTTGATAACCTACAATCGCCGACTGCATAGACACGGCTAGTCTTTGCAATCTCTTATTTAAAAAAAAACAGGGGAAGGTGCGTAAACATTCATGCTCTATTAAGGTATCATGTCGAGGTCTCGTGAAAATGAAATGACTAATGAAGTCGAATATCCTAAGTGTTGATTTGAAATCCTCAGGCATGCCGTAGTAAATGGAATAGCTCATGCACAAGGTGCTTTCTAATCGTACATAAATGTTTAGCTAATCAAGAAAATCTAACCAACTATATCGAGGTTTAACAGCATAGATTGACGAATTATTTATGGTTTCCTAGAGGTTCACTTATTAATCAATTATTGCAAGTAATTAACTAACGTTAACTAACAACCATCTAACTAACTAAGTAACTCGGATTAGTGTTTTTCATCCCATTAACTTATATTACAGTACCCACCTGTACCCGCACCCGCACCCGCACCGGGGCCCGCACCTACGCCTACACTACACCAGTTGGTTTTAATGAGTACCATGGTACAAGCGTCTCTTCATTAATGAAAACAGTTATCATTCATAATCACACAAATGGATACAGTAGTCTGTACCTGGCCCATAGTATAACAAAACTTGAGCTGGGGTTTGTTAGTAGATGACATAAATTGACCTGCACGAGGATGAATGGAGTAATACGACGCGGTCCGTATATGTTTCACATCAAATGTCAGATAAAATAGCGCGTGTTCTAAGCGAGGCATCACTGTCAGAATTAATGGCTGAGAAGAGGACAATAGACCCACAGGGCGGCATTGGTATCACGTTATGCTTTCTCGTCATTTGGAGAATTGCATATAAAATTCGGATGAAGTCACAAGTCCATTCGTTCAACTCAAATTATCCTTCTTCATTCTCTCTTTCTCAATCCTAAGGGTATCTTTTGATGGCTTCATCAACAACAATTTTGTTCATCCCCGGTGCCTGGCACAGTCCCCACTGCTTTGATAAAGTAGCTAGTCGACTGGAAGACGAGGGCTATAAAACAGACCTCGTTCACTTGCCGTCTGTGAACCCCATTGTGCCTGATTCCGATTTCGCGGATGATGTTGCCCAGATCAGGAGCCAAATAGAGGCTGCTGTAAACTCTGGACAAAGAGTGATTATCACTGTGCATTCATACGGTGGCCTACCAGGATGCGAGGCCATTCGCGGCCTGGACTGGGAAACCCGCAAAATGCAGGGCCGACCAGGCGGCGTGGTTCATCTATTCTTCTGTTGCTCGTTCATTGTTCCACAGGGAAAGTCTTTGATTAGTTCTTTCGGGGGGAATGATCTTCCTTGGTTCCAAATCTCAGAGGATCGTCGTCTTGTTACTCCAGCTACACCAATTGAAACATTTTACAACGACATGACTGAAGCAGACGCACAACTTGCTGCCAACACATTGAAACCCCATAGTTATCAAACATTCCACAGCAAGTTGAACTTCGCCGCGTGGAGGCATTTGCCGTCCACCTATCTCTATTGTCTTAAGGACGCGGCCATCCCTATTCAAATACAGAAGATGATGGTCGAAGAGGTTGCCAAGGGGGTCAATATCCATACTGATGTTGTTGATTCTTCGCACAGTCCCTTCTACACTGCACCAGACGAGGTGGCTGCGGCTATTATGAAGGCGGACCGTTAGACACTCAATAAGTGTTGGTATATAGCAACTTAACTATAGTCGAAATAATTATCGGTAGAATCCCGCCTTAAATCCATTGCATTAACTTCCACCATCCCTCGCACTATAGATTAGCTGTCTATTTCTTTTTAAACAGCGGTTGCTGTTACAACTGCCCAGTCAGTACCCTGTGGGATAAATTAGCCCACTCCAGGTCACAAAACCAACCGCGCGCCGTATTGGCCCTTGACTTCCCTGACTTCCCTGGTGCAAAAGCTCAGCCATGTGGCTGGCAACTTGTGCATTTCCTCGATCAGATCAGAACTAGTACTGCTGCTGCGACCTAAATTTGGCACGTGATCTCCTCGGCGCCCAGTGCCTAGGGTCTAAGTGCCCTCTTCCTACACTTCCTCAAAGACCTCTATCTCCTCCTCATTTAACACCGCGTCGGAGAATCTGAAGCAGACAACAATCTACGAGCTTGGATTATAACACTTTGTCAGTTCGCTGGTTAGTCTTATCGTGAGATTCACAAGAAATATGCTTTATTAACATCTTTATTCTGAAGTTGGTTATAATCGTCAGAAGGATCTAATTGCTTGTTTACTTTCTATTAAAGATCTTAAGAGATGGCGAGTTATGAAGAGACTTTATCTTAGGCCTAAGCATACTGCCTAATGATCTACGTAGGCTTTGTCACGGGCCAGTGCCCGATATAGGTCACGTGTATCACGAGACCTTAGCATGTTGACGTGGAGAACGCGCGGGATGAACTTCCCTTCCTTAAGCTTTTTGTAAACAGCATGTTGGCCTAGTTAGATTGAATCAAGTCTTGCTTCAGCCCTTCACAGGCTTATCAGTAATAGGGTTTCACGAAAGAGGATTTAACTGGAGTCTTTCAATCAGACGACTGTGCAGTTGAGCTTGTAATTGATATTCGACCGAATCACTCTTTTCCTCTTCCTTTGGAGTAAGTTCTTTCAGACAAAGTTCAGCCAACTCCAATATCGTGAATTTCAAGTCAAACTAGGCTACGGCAGCATCCGCGAAAATCCAAATCCGCTCCGCATCCGCACCGCAGATTGCGGATATGGATACGATTCTGACATCCAACTATCCGCGCGGATTAGATGCGGATTTAGCCTTCAAAAGGTTAGATATCCGCGGATATCCAGCGGATTCGAAAACCGTACAAACATGCCAAGTCTCGTGATCTGATTTGGCATGCATATCTTATGCAGATTTCAGATAATATTCTGTACTACTAGTGTTCTATATTATCAAATTGATTACATGTTCTTAATACAGAAATTACTTCTAATAGTAGATCGAATCAGTTCACTGTTTAACTACTTTATTTAGCGCATTATATAGTGATACTATAGCTTGCCTATCTTAAATCCGTCTAGTAGCTGTGGCTTCTTCTGAATCCTTCCTATTCGGGCCTATATACTATCGAATGCCGTTTCCTCTAGTAGAGCACTATCACCTAGATCTAAACTATCTATAGGCCGCTTTGAGGAGTAAGAGATCGCTAGTTTATCTATATTATCATCGGAATCCTCCTCTTATAACTCCTCTTTATATCCTTCTATTATAATATACCCTAGCCTGAGGTTATTCCCAAGAGTGTTGGTGCCTTAGGCTGCCCGGACCTAATCAGCCGGTAGGCTTTCGGTGGGGATTCGCTGGAGCTTCACTAACAATACGTGTACGAACCTCTGCAAGGAAGATCCTTAGGAAGAGATTACACAAGCCTCGTGTTTTCCCCGCCCCTAAGGATATATCTCCTTCCTATTTTAAGCGATAAGATTATATATAAGTTAAACCATGAAGAGGAACCCTTAAGTTCCTTAAGAAACAGTCTTTGACTATTTTAGCACAATTGATTTAGTTCCATTTCTTCTACCTTATTAACAGGCCTCCACCCTAACTTGTAGAGTATATTCTTGGTGGATACTCGGAGATCGGAGTTACTATACAACCGCTTAGATTAGTCATGTTTATGCCAACCTAAAATGCCAAAAGGGGCTTGTTAGCAATTCAGACCTGTTGTGATTTCTATTGGTGCACCTACATGGCTTATTCATCTGCGTTCCGTTCAGGCACAAAAGTCACGTTTTTGTCATTGTTAGGTGTCAAATGGCTGAGTCACTCGACCTAGTAGGGTAAAGCGTGCGGTCAGATACGGAGTCCCAGAGGCTAATTAAACAGGAGAAGAAGGCCACAGCCGTGACGATTGAAGGAGCAACACAACAGATCCGACAATTGGAAAATCAAGTCTTGGAGCTGACAACGGCTAGGGAGACTGCGGAAACAAGCCTCTCGCTTTTCAGAAATCATACGAAGGAGCTGACAGATCAACAAAAGGAGCTTGAGTCTAGATTCAAAACTCAGGACTACCCATTGTCAGAATTGTAAGCAATTCCTTTTTCGGTTCTTGAACGGAGATTTACTAAGTCTGCGCTTAGCGAAGAGCATTTGTCCAACATACACCAAAACCTTAGGGCACTTGCACATGCCTATTTCGGAGAGCTGCCATTTAAAGACTTTGTAAGTTTAGCCTTACGGACAGGTCGGATATATATCTTACATTAGACAGGATATCGATCAGTGCCAAACTATTCTTCGTGGCAATTTCCAGATATTCCGTATTATGCCTCTGACTGCTTCTGCTGCATCGAAGTACCTTCGAGTCCGGGCAGCAGAGACGGTCATCGCAAGTGCTATATACCACTCTTAGCAGCATTTTGGCAGATCGAGGTTGCCCATATACCCCAGATTGCACGTCTACCTTTGGCCAAATCTCAGAGGCACTTGCTCACCACGATCGCAAAAAGGAGAGCTTATGGCGATACCTCACCTTCCAATATCTAGACATTGCTTCTCACAAATGCATTCACGAAAGCACAACTAATAACGCCATATTGCTCCCGGAAATCCAGCAAATTTCCGAGCTTCTTCGAATCCTCGTACCGTAGCAGAAGCAAAAGGATTTTGAGCGTGACCTAGAGCATCTCCTCACAGAATAGGTTTATTTTTAGGACAAAGCAAAGAGGAATAGTTGCATCATTAAATTTAATATAAAACCTCCCCAGGTGAGCGGTTTTAGTTGGCTCTTAGAGCCGTGTCCTGAGCTTGATTATGTGGAGGGCGACATTAGGGAAGGGCGAGATGATGTGCAAACATAGTGCTTGTTTCCCCGCGTTAAGCTCACACCAGTCAATAAGAAAGCCAAGGTTATCGCGGGGCGTGCTGTCTTCAGTAATAGCCCGGCTTTCCATAAAGGCTTGTGTGAAATCAAGCGGCAACAAGAAGAGTTCACCAAATTTAAACGGAGATTTACCCGGCAGCCATCGACCTTCAAGCGACGTTAGGGAGAGTACCTTGTTAAGAACCTATTTTCCCTTATCTCAATTTTTCAATTTTCCTCACTCTTTCAGCTTGTGATTTTCAAATATGAAGTTTGAATGACGGATAAAGAGGGGGAAAGCCCAGTATCAAATAATGAAGTTAGTATCTCAGACTTAGTAATGTATCATTCCTTCTCGGCCGTCCTGCGTCCTAGACGAGTCCTATTTATATCAGTTGTGAGTGGACTCATAACCAGGGTTCTTCTCGAGTCCTGGCAGTCAGGGCCGATCTAGTCTGGAATGATCCGCTATCAGGACACGTCCACGTAGCGAAAGTATCGAGGCTACTAAGCGGTGATTTCTTTCCACCGCTCCAAACCCTCAGTACAGTCTGTACCATGTTCGACAAACCAACACTTGTTTTATTACCGGTGCCAGCACCACACTCACTTTTCAGAATCCATTGAGCGAAAGTGCGGATGTCTTCTGGAGTCTGCATATCTCACCGAGATGATGAGACGCGAAGCTGCGTGACCGCTAGTCAACCGCGAATTATCGGGATTGTCCGTGGGTTGTCAGGAGAAATATCCAATTGCCTGGTCAGGCCAACTTGAACGCGACTTATGTCTAAGCGCCCGCGAGGTAGATACCCGGTCGCTGATATGTCGACCAGGCAGCACCACTTTTGGAGCAGTCACATGCTTGGCGAACGTAACTAACAGTTAAAAGATGTATAACCAAGCCCGAGCCTCCTTGATTGCTAAGCACTAGCCATCTATTCAGACAATACTGATTGAAGACATGTTACGCGAAGCCGACTGGTCACTGAGTTAGAACGTCCACGGGTTATGCTTGCCTAATTCCAACTGCGAATCCCAAGAGTCTCTCTCAATCGTACCGTTGCTTCGCAAAGCCTTACTGCGTGTTGGATCCTGCTGAGCGTCTTGCAGAATGTACCAGAAGTGCGCGCCAAGTCCGTATTCCAGAGAGGCTGTTCAAGATTTTGCGCCGTCATCATACACTTCCCGGAAAGTAAGCGCGTGAATGGTGGACACCCCGAAGTCCCTACATCTCGGTAAAAAGTTAAATGAAGCTTGTCTATACCACTTCCACCGCCGTGAGAGAACTGGACGAAAGACTTACACAGTAAGGAAGCATAATCACACTGGTTCCCATCACGATAAATCCATGGGCACTCCCATTTAGAGGACAAGGTGGAACATACAGAGACATCATCTTCAACCCAAGATATGCCATTCCTCTTCATGCCAGGTGAAGGTCGTCTTGAAACTGAAGTATCTCTGGGGAATCTTGGAGCAGAGCTCAGTGCGGAGCAGCACGGCACTCTGTGCGGGTATTGAGACGAGCGAGGGTTACCATGATTTGCTCTGGCTAGAACCCATAACAGTATGTTAAAGGGCAAATGCAGTAAAGGGGTAATTGCAATGTGGTACATAGTGAAAAGATGGTCTACCAAGTGTACGCTCGGGAGAACTTAAGCCGCCGTGCCTTCGCGATATACACGCGACATAGGGCGAAGGCTTGACAGTCACTGAGGATAGCGTGGTATCGGTAGACGATCTGATAATATCTCCAAAGCCCTGGCTGGATGGCCCAGGAAAGATCTTTAAATGACCGCATCTTGCTTAGAGAGAGTAGCTGGATTGCAAATCTTATATCCGTCTCGTAGTATTGAAAGTGAATGTCTGAGCGGCGGTTTCGTGCCTTGATCCGACCTTCTGCAATTTCAGACAAATTGAAAACTTGCTGGATAGAGAAATACGTGGTAATGGATTAAGCCACGGGGAAAGGAAATCGGAGGCCATCTTTGAATTGACTCTACAGTATCATGCATGAGCCAAAAAAGGGTTCACGATTTGTGAGTCCAGTAGATGAAGAGAGATGATATAACTCACGAGCCACACGCCACCTTCCTTGTACCAGATCATTGCTATGGTTTTCTTTGTGTCCAGTAATGATATGAACATAAATCTCTTCATGGCCACCACTCGCAAAGGATTTAAAAATTTGATGATTGGAACAAAGTTTGACGAGAGCTTCGAGAAAACGCTGTTCCCTGTAATGAATATCAAGCATTGGCTGTCGATCAAATGGCCTAAAGCCCTATTGACAGAGAAACAAATCAGCGTCTACGAATAAATTTTAGATGATTAGGTGTCTCCTCCAGGTATATGTCAATTATCCGTCCATTTCTATGCAATAAGAGTGTGCTAAAATCAATAATAGCGGGTTGTACAAGTGTGAGTCGTGAAAATTGGTAGTGGAGAAGCGAGATGTCATGTACCAACACCATAATTGGAGTAAGGAGTTCTACAATTCCCGCGCATGATGTAACGGTTTCGAAGCTTTGTGTTTTGGGATGCTCGCTAGATACCTTGGCAATTTCCGTCAATATGCATTCTTTTGTCTCGCTTCCGTATCATTCTCAGTGCCCTGTTTGAATGGCACGTGGCACCGAATCTTCTTTGATTTGCTGTTGGCTGTTATGAAATCAAGTCCTAGTCACCCACATAATCGATTTACCGAGAGGGGGGATATTCACTATGCAGGGCGTCCAAATACTTCACATTGTTATAATCAGTCCGATCAATCAGAGCTACCGAATTTTCCATGTAGCTTAATCTCAAGGAGGCCGTTTGAAACAATCTCATCCTTCCTTTCAACCAGTTCGTCCACAGACCAGTTAACAGACATGTACCTCCCGCTCATGAACTCCGCTTGCTTAGAGGCCAGCCAAACAGTAACACCACCAACCAAATCAAACGTGTCATTTGAAAAGCGTTCAAAAAAGGTCGGAGTCATACGAGTCATCACAATTCCAGGGTGTAGGCTGAAAGTCTGGACGTTGGGGTTTTCCACGCGTATAAAATCCTGAAGTCTGATTTGGCAGAGCTTTGATAGCGAGTAGCTCGATAGACAGGGGAAGGAATTTAAGGCCGCTGCGCTCGTAACGTTTATGACAGTCATATTACTGTCCTTCCCATTCAGCTGTAGGAAGTTTTGAGTCATCAAAAATGTTCCTTTAACATTGACTTCCTATCGTGGTAATTAGCATGACTCAAGTAGCTAATTATGTTCTGTGGTCGCCTCACGAAGTTGCGCCACCATTTCGCGGGTTCAATTTCAACAATTGGAAGTGGAGATTCCCCAGCACCTGCATTGTTCACAAGAATATCAATTCTTGGATATTTTGCTTTAAGGTCATTGAAAGTATCCTTGACTTCAGCCTCGCTACTGATATCAACTGCCCTTATGTCAATCAGAGTTTCCGGTGCCGCTAGATGTATTTCGCCAGCCGCTTCTTGCAGATCTTGCTTATTTCGCCCAGCAAGAATAAGGACACTCGCGCCTGCCTTTGCGAAAGACAAGGCAATTCCCTATGTATTTCAGTGGTGAGCAGCAGCACAAGCTTGAAAGTTGCATTACTCCTTACGTATCGTCCGATACCTGAGCTAGCACCCGTAATCAAGACAGTTTTCCCTTTTTGATCGAGTTCTTCTGACGAAGGAGTGACAGATGGGTAGACATCGTAATATAAAGTTCGAGTAAATTGGTCGACCTTCGCGAAGTGGTCGATTGGGAGATGGGATAGATCCATGGTCACGATTGCACCCACTATCACTGTCTTCAGCAAATCCTGTACTTGTGCGATCGTCTTCACACAGGTGTCGCGCTAGTTATATGATCCCCAAAGAAGTGTGTTAATATTAGAAAAGGCAATGCTGACTGCGTTATCTCCGATTCACAGTCGTCAGCTGAACGTTAATGACTAAAATTTGGATTGAAAATTGTCCAATTCTCCGGGCCAACCGTGTTAGTGCTGCCGTTCCGGGTCGTCGGCCGCACGTCCGCACGTCCGCACCCGCAGTGAGATCCACAGCTTCTACCATTAACCGTCCAACCAACTAGCGTTTCTATCTTTCTCACCGGTCACTTTTCTTGGTCACTTTCTTAAATTCTCCAGATGTCATGCGCCTTATCGAGCGGACATAGGATGTTTCATTTCTTTTTGTATGATTAGCTTTACCCTTTGACGGCAGCTGCCAATTCCTGTACCCGGCATTGAATCCGGGACTTCGTTAACCACGCTTTCTACCTTCCAAGACCTGTCCATATCCCATGGCAATATAAGTAGTTCCTCGTACTTTCATAGGTTATTATGAGCAGCACGTTTCATTCATCGTATTTTTTAAAGTCCATCCTTATTTCCGAATCTACATGTGACGTACGCCCATCACAATAGGATTCGGCCCATGGCCTGATTTTGGGCCGTGTTAATGTGGCAATGGGAAACACCGCGCAGCAAAGATGAGGACATACAAGGCGTCATTACCTCACTCACTTACGTCCTGTCTAACTCGATCGGCCTGAGACAGAGATGAACTGGCTAACTGCATACGACGTCCTAGATATCTGATGTGTGCGTCTACTGCGCCCTGAACTGACACAGCAATGGCTGGGCTTCTGTATCCACAGTGGCACATTCAGGGTTCCTTATGGGTTTCAATTATTCATGCAGACATATAATTTCTGTTCACGGTGTCTGCGGCTGCTAGAGCATATCAATCCTTTTCAGGGAACATGAGAACTAGACTTGATCTCAGACACCCATTCATCCGGAAATTAGAACAACGAAAGCAATCCTAAAGGGCCATGTCAGATTCTTCTGTCTCATAGAAAAGTGTTTGATAAGCATATTTACTCAAATTCGTCAAGCAAGCTAGAACAGCAAGCCAATTTTTTCCATTCCATTCTATCTGGCTTATCAATCAGACTTCAGCTTGTGGAGAATGACGCTATGACTGCCGGGCGTCTTGTAGGTGCTTTTCACCAATCATACTTGTTTATCCAAGTAGGCGAAATCAACCCTACGACATAGTCAAGAGTGTCTCAATTCGCCTATAAAGCCCTTGAGATGAATACATACGGACTCGCGACTAGAAATATTGGTTACCCGGCAACATCAGCTTCGTGAAAATTAACACACCCACCCTCAATGATCAATGTCGGTATTATAGGCCTCAGCGCCTCAAACCTCGCCTGGGTCTCTCGCAGCCATGCCCTGGCACTCCAGAAACCTCCTTTATCAGGAAAATACCAGCTGAAAGCTGCAGTCTCAACTAATAAGGAGACTGCAACTTCCTCTGCTAAGAGATGGGGACTGTCCCCAACCAAGGCTTATACAGCGGCGACCGAACTGGCCAGCGATCATGAAGTTGACCTTGTAGTGGTCGGAGTCAAGCTGCCACTTCACTTTGAGCTGGCTCTCCCCTTGTTGGAAGCCGGGAAAGACGTCTTTGTTGAGTGGCCATTGGCAACCACAATGAATCAGGTGGCTGAGCTACAGGCTGCTGCTCGCAGAGGCGGTGGTCGAACAATTGTCGGGCTTCAAGCTCGGGCTTCACCCGCGATTCTGACTGTAAGTCAACGATTTTTTGGCTAGAAAAATTTTGACAAGTATTTTATTTTACTAATTTTAGATAGGCAAAGTCAATTGTAGACTCTGGGACACTCGGTAAGATTGTTGCAAGCACGGTGGTTGGATGGGATAACAGTCTGCTTTACCTGCCACCCCGCTTCGATTATGAACACAAGGCAGCGAACCGTAAGAGAAACAATGGAGCTGTAATGAGGCACGAGACTAATTCAAATAGGCGCCGACATCTCTACCATTACCTCTGGCCATGTGCTGGACGCACTTTGCTTCCTCCTCGGAGAATTCGAGAGTTTGTCATCGACAATAAATTGCTTTTTTCCCAACATCGAAACAGATCATCATAAGGAACCGGTCAAGCGAGACGCGCCTGATTCGATTCTTGTGCAAGGAAAGCTGCAAAGTGGTGCCGTGGCCAGCTTTAGCATGATATTGACACCTCCTGGAACACCCTCGTCGTTTACCTGGACCATAGCAGGAGAGAAAGGGGCTCTGAAACTTGAGTCGAGCAATATTAACATCCAGATTATTCCACCAAAGGTCTATATACACAGAACCGACAGTGGATGTGTTTCAGAGTGGGAGGAGGTGCCCGTCACAGAGCCACTTCATTTCGGGCAGGTTGGAGAGTTATACCAGGCATTTGTGGACGGGGAGAAGGTTCCAGGAATACTTACCGATTTTGACGGAGCAGCTTTGCGACATAGAATGCTGGAGGCTTGTTTGACAAGCTCAAAGACAGGAATATTGCAGAGGTATAGCTGAATCGTATAGAATTGGTTAGATGATAACGAAGGTTTTGGAAAGAATCCCACATGCAGCAATGGCAATATTGCTTGCTTTACGACATGCAAATTCCTAGAAAAAGGTGGCTCCTCGCGTGAGAGATGACCACCTGCTCTTCTTCCTAGAATTCTCTGTACAGTCTCGTGGACGGAAGTAAAGCGTTATCCCATGCTGGTCTCCACGAAGCTATTGCTACTCGAACATCTGCTGGCCAATGTCGGGATCGTGCTAGGCTGATTAGGATCGAGTTTCTGTCAGCGATGGATCATTTTAACTTTCAACTTACATCACATTAGTCAGAAGCAATTAGAAGTAGAAATGCGGTGCTCAACTATTCACCGTCGCAGGCGGATTACAAGCAGAATCCCTTTATCGATGAAATAAGAGATACGGTTCACTTCTCTGCCGCGACCTATTCTTTTCACTTAGCCAGCAGCTATTACATTCTCCTCAAAAAGCTAATGCAGCCGCACAGCACCATTCGCCATATAAGGCATTCTAGGATTTGTAAGAAGACGGCAGGTCTACGGGTAAATATCACGATTACAGCTAGCTATAGAACAACGTCAGGACTTTCCTGCTCTTGTTCCTAACCCTTCTGTGGACCAATCAGAATATGCCTCTGGGGTTTGGCGCTGGGATTGTACGTGGGCTCTGGGTCCTCGGGTTTTTCCTCTCATCGGATCTAGTCTTTACCTGAGTGAATTTCCCTATTAGCTTCTTGGACTTATCTATCTGTTCTTGTGGCCAACACAATTTCCTGAGAGGCAACGATTGAATCAAACGATTGCCTCCTCCTTAGCAGATCCTGTTAAGCTACCGTGTGGCCTAATACTGCCACACCGGTCCCCTACGGTCTTTCAAAGCTCGAATTGATTTTTCTTCGTTCACAAGGTACTAATATTCTGACAGGCCGCGATGGCAGAGAGGCTGCTTCAAGAAATCGACCAACGGCAAGCATAAAAAATGCTTACGAACAGTGGTCTAAAGGCTGCTGGGGCTGTACCCTAACTAGTATTTTACTTGTGACTATTGCCGCATTAAGAGCTATCAGAGCGAGCCAAAATCGTATAGACTAGTAAGAGAATGGGCGAATGGGAGCTATCGGAATCATGTAGATTTGATTGATTGAAGAGACTTAGTCAAATCCTCCATGTAGAATGAAAAGGGGCAGGTTGAGCTGTCCCTGGGCGGTGTAATGGAGTATTCGAGTGACCATACCAATGTCGAGGCGTTACCCCATATTACATACAAAATGTAAGGAAAACCGGGTGACTCGAGGACCAATCCCATGTCACCGTAATATTCACCTCCACTTTTCACGACAAGAGCTTATACGACGAAAATCTCAATAAAAATCGCAAGAGAAGATCTATCTGTTTCTAATGTTAATCGCATTTTCGCACGCGCGATTGAGCGTGGCTTTCATCTAATTCATACGAAAATCACCGATAAACACGTGGAAGATAGCGCTGGCGCTGGTTGGCCTACAAGCAAGATCCTGAGACGATTGACAATATCCTGTCAAAGGTGTGCCTTAAACGATTCAGTCGCGAGAGAATATGCGATGATCTTGCTGACGTGCTTAGGCAGGAAGGGATAGATACCTCATCCTTTAAAGTCAGGGCTATCCTTAGGCTGCGGCTGCATCCGCGAAAACCCATATCCGCTCCGCATCCGCACCACAGATTGCGAATTAGGGTTTGGGCTTCAAAAGGTTGGGTATCCGAGAATACAAAAACAGTACAAACACGCATATCTTATGCAGAGTTTAAGGTAAAGTTCCGTACAACCAGTGATCTATAATATCGAATTTGATTATATGTTCTCGATACAGAAATTTTCCGCCAGTGTAGGTTCTCTTTTGCCGCTCTATGGTCCGATCTGTTTGGATACTATGAGAGTAATCGTTGTCATGTCGAAGCCTCCGCTTCCTGCTTTCACGCTCCGGTTCTTCTGCTGTCAATTCCTCGGATAGCGATGGTTGGAAATCCCCGTCGCTCTAGGTGTCCTCTCTACGAGCTTCAGATTGGCGTTCGAGATCTCGCATCTTGACCTCTTAAAGCTCTGAGCTAGGCTCTGATTCCAACTGTTCACGTCTCGGTTTTTCGATCACGTCTCGGTTTTTCGATCAAGTCCGTAACACGAGCAGATTTCCTCGTGCTGCTTCTGACCCTGTGACAGAAGAATCTTGCACGTGCGAAACAGGGGACACCTTCGAATACTGGATCACTTAATTGACCTCTTCCGACGCTATGCGTTAAAACGGATGCCTGCATGCAAGTATGGGCGCCGGTTGAGAAAATCCTCGCATTTCACGAACTATTACAGGCGAGAAACATCATATTTTACGGAACTGCAAGGAAAACTACCAGGTGGATGAAAAAATGCAAGCGGTGCCGCTGAGTCATTCAGCCATGATGTTGACGACTTAGAGAGTACCCTAGAAACCAAGAGGAGAGGTTGAGTGTTAAGACAGGAGGAAATGCTCAAGAATTATCGGAGAAATTTCCCGAGTAAGTCAAAGATCGTAGTAGTTGAAACCAACGCAATGGCTGGAAACTACTCGGCGAGTGGATGTACAAGTGCGATTTTGAGCCTGCGTATCTGAATATATGTATCAATACTATGTTTAAGTTCTAATTGCAATAAATCGGCTACAGGGTCTGCTTTAACCATTGTGTCTGCGAGTTGCAGTATGTTAATAGTCCGTTCAAACCCCATTCAACACCGATACCACTCTGCTTGTGCCCACCAAAAGGTACCGTAGGCAAAACATCAAAGTGCGTGTTCACCCAGACCATACCTGACTCCAATTGGTCCGCGATATGAGTAGCACGGCCAAAGTCCTTGCTCCAGACCGAGGCGCCCAATCCCGTTCCCATCGCGTTAGCCTTCTGGATCACATCCTCTTCATCCGACCACTGCATAACGGGAAGGATAGGTGCAAAAGGCTCCTCTTGAACCACACGCGAGGACTCGGGAGGGTTTTCGATGATCGTTGGCTGGATAAAGTATCCCTTTGACTCTTCGACCGAGCCCCCAAGCACAGCCTTGAGCTTCTCGGTGGAGATGGAATTTAAGAGGTTCCTAGCTTTTTCAAACTGCATCTTATTTTGGACCGGGCCGAAGAAAACGTCGGTTTCGGTGCCATCGCCAACCTTGAGAGTCTTGACAAATGCGAGTAATTTGTGTAAGAACTGGTCGTAGATCTTCTCGTGCACATAGAGCCGTTTAATCATCATACATATCTGGGAACTACATAAATAGCAGAGAACTCCGACCTATAGATCACGTTAGTTCTCCGCCATCAGGTTTAATAGAGGAGGGCCTACCTTGGGGATTATCGCATCGACATCCACATCGTCGCAGATGATCGCTGGGTCATTTCCACCCAGTTCAAGTGTAACACGCTTCAGGGTCTTAGAACAGCTAGCCATGACACGCTTACCCGTGGCAATTGATCCAGTGAAGGAAATCTTGTCGATACCAGGGTGTTCAGTCATCATAGGCCCCAGACTGTCGTCTCCACTTAGACATTGGATTACACCCGGTGGGAAGAATTGAGTTGCTAGCTCCGCTAGCTTCAAACCACAGTATGGGGTAAACGGTGATGGTTTCACAATAACTGTGTTTCCGGTATACACAGCAGATACGATCTTCCCGATAGCTAGGAGCACCGGAAAATTCCAAGGCACAATCGCACCCGCCACCCCTATAGGTGTATAACGTTGGATGATTTTGCGGTCTTCGGTGTCTTCAATGGTGTTTGTGGGAATCTCAATGCTGCTGAGTCCCCGAATCCACGTGCCCACCATACCGACTTCAGTCCTAGACTGACTCAATGGTTTGCCCTGCTCCATGGTGAGAGTCTTAGAGAATCCATCGATGTTAGCTTCGATCGCATTGGCGTAGGCATGAAGGGCAGCTCGGCGCTCTTGGAAAGAAGTCTTAGACCAAGACTTGAAAGCCGTGCGGGCTGCTTGGACTGCGTTATCGAGATCCTCCTTAGTGGCGATAGGGACCTCGAGATTGGGCTCTTCAGTGGCTGGATTGATACCATTACGAGTCACGGCGGTCGAGGACAGTTGATTATTGATGACATTCTGGAATGTCTGCAATTACTAATTAGACTATATTTGGAAAATCTCTGGATGGTTTATAGAACTTATGGAACCTACCGTGAAGTTCAATAGACTATTCATATCGGAGATGGCCATAGGAATAGTCTCAACAAGTCAACTTCCCAATAGGTCGAATGCGTAGTGAGAGAGTGAAAGATTATGCTTGAGAGGAAATAATGATCAAAGAAGGTGGAATAAAGGAGGGGTAGGAAGAATGATGGAGAATAGGTTTACAGGTCGTAAGGAGATCGGGGTACTGACACTATATATGCAAGTATGTACAGGTGCGGCTGCGGATGCGGCTGCGGATGCGGCTGGGGATGGATATTAAATTAAGCACACTATCCTACCTACGGAATCCATGGATGACACAAATGGATCAATAAGGCAATATGAATCAGCCAACAGTGTCTGACGGGAGTCGACTCCGGGGTCATCCTTTGCTGGTGGCGATAGCCGAATTGACGGTAAGATGACTAGTACAAGGGAGAGAAGAGCAGGTTGGCTGGACCGGCAGAAGCTGCTCAATATTTTGTGCCTTGAATGGGCAGTGGGAGATTTGCCTACATTTCACCCTACAACTAGATAATGGAAAAAGGATGCGGCCGGGTGGAAGGTTTCTCCATTTCAATCGGGGGGTGTGACCATCTCAGCGGCATTTGGACCGTCCTGAAAACCTTTAGTTCATATGTTGCCACATATTTGGAATTTCAAGTCCTTCTATGGCAGCCTGTATCTTCGTTCAAACGGATCATTGAACAATTTGAATAAGGCTGTACTGATGGCATTGATAAAGACATAATCAAATTGCTTTTGACAAGCTCCGTGGTGTCCTCCTAGAATGCAGTGAACGGCATTTTACAGGGGGTTGAGGTGTCTGCTTTTGAGGGACGAAATGATCTCTGTCCCCTGCCTTGCTGAACTTGATGAAGTCTCCCAGGAACTGACTAGTGTTGTTCATTTATGCGGCACCAAAGTTGATCTTGTTTCTGACTCCTGATGAAATTTAACTCCAAGGATCTAGTTTAATAGAGCTCAGCCTATGTGTTAAATTCAAAAAGGTTGTTCGAATGACATGAGACGTCGTGCATTACCAAAAAGCAAAATCTTTGCTGAATGAGGTATATTATATCAATCTACCCGCTGATCATGTGATCTTTTTTGTAGGTATGATGAGCCCGCGACTTCGATTTACCTTCATCGAACTGCGAACTAGCCGCAAGTCTTTTACAATCCCATCTTTTTGTTCAATTTTCAGGAGGTTGCTCCTGGCTAAATACCAAGTCGTCCGCCATCAATTACGTGAATCGTGAATGAGCAGAACACCCCTGCCTCAGATTCATAACAAAGCACGGCACCAGCCATTTTCTCATCCCTTCCTACCCTTCGTAGTAATTGCGGGCATGGATCTCTCTACCGTAAAGTCTTTATCACTGAGCATGCCGACTATCAACTCCGGACGAAAAGCTGTTCGATCAGAAGACTGCTATCATCCGAAAATTTGCACGATAACGAAGGAGAGACAAGGGAACCGTACTTCAAGGAGCAGTTGCATTTACCCTGATCCTGTACTGAACCAAACAACTAGCGAGGCCTTTGGTCAGGTGACCACCGCATCGTGAACGTGTCTAGCAATGGACACGACAAATTTGCATCAAACGAGGGTATAATATTCTCAAATATGAACCGGTCGTAGCTTGGAAGCGTGAGTGCCGATGCGAATTTCGACTCTATCCTCAGCACCAGTCTAGCGTCTAGGGCCGTTTGCTTGATTCTTGGGTGATTGAAAACTAGCAAGCATCGTGCGCATTGTCATTGTCGAGATGAATGAGACTCTTGCTTAGAATTTCTCAAATTGTCTGATAAACTTCTGGTAAAATGCCGTAAGGATGCCGTGAATCAAGCGGCATTGTATGGTGTATGGGACTTTCAGCAGCACCCGGTTTGGGCCTCGCACCTGATCGATATCGGCGGGAGAAGGTGAGCTAAGTACCACAATCAGACATCTGGCTCATAGCTCAAGGCACCTTAGCGCCCACTATTGTTAATTATATGTAACTTTACCCTTTCACCTTTTCTTTCTTGATCATTCTTATGATACACAAGCAGCTAGAAGTGTCAGGGAAAACTGCGACAACATCACGGGGACGCGCTATAAGTCATCAATACTTCAAATGATAGTTATTAAAGGACATCCTGCAGCTAGGAAGAGTTATTCCTATGACGGTCTGCACAGTTATGCTTGCCTTCTGCATAGTAGTGGGGCGTTAGAAAATGCAATAAATTATGATATTTGACAGCTATCAAGGCGATGCGCGGTAATTAGATAGCTTACAGTGCCTGGAACAAAATTCCACTTAACCGAATACTCACTCCTAGGCCACTCAGCTAACTTGACATAACCTGGATTGACTTGAAATAATGAGCTGAAATAGGATTGATTCATCTGCACTGGGCCGCCATGCCTTTTAAAAAGAACTTGAAGAGAACAGTGTATCTAGCATATCTAGCCAAAGTCTCGCCAGGAAAGCTACATTTTCTTTCCTGCAAAGGACAGTAATCCTATCGTCTTCTAAGGTGCCCCATATCTGATTTCCACTGTGCAATTGCCTCTGAGCCTGACAACCTCGCTCTCTAGGGTTATAAACAGAGCTACAGTGCCAGATGGCGTCTATGATCTTCTCTAAATCATCATACACACAAGTGGCTTTGGGTGCGTGATTAAGGATCTAGTCCAACGCCCGTGATAGTTGCATACTAGGCCCTTCCTGTACCTGGAAGCTCTCCTCATACATATGCAAATTATGGGTAGTCCAGTTCCACAAATCCACTGCGAGCTTCCCATCACTGGTATACTTACTTCTCTGTCGACTGACTACCCCAACAGGGTCATAATACTCCCCCGACTGGACACTATCCACAGTAGCCGCCCAAAGTTGATTCAGAACCCCAGTTTCGGGACCGACGCCATTGAACACGCTCGTGAGTTTCCATAAAAGCCTCATAACTAGGCTATTGGCACTCGCAGTATTGCCCAGGTTCGTCTTGACCTGGCCGGGGTGAACAATGGCTACCTTGAACTCCAAGTACCTCTTAGCCAATTCCTGGCCGTATAGGATCATAGCTAGCTTGCTCTGACCATATCTTGCCACTGTCCCCATTTCCTCTGCACAGCCCTTCAGACTGCCGAAGTTGATTCCACCGCTGGGCGCGTACCGATGGGCGACCGAGCTGAGCAGGATAACCCTTACATCATCCGACCCAGGGGCCCGTCCCTCCTTCTGCTGCTGTCGATGAGCCGTGTCCACCAGCAAAGGTAAAAGCTCATGTACTAGAAATGTATGTCCCAAATAATTCGTACCAAACTGAATCTCAAAGCCGTCTTTTGTAACGCTTGGGGGCACCGCCATGATACCCGCATTCAGCATTAAAATATCCAGCCGTGGTGAAGATTGAGTTTGCATTTGCTGCGCCTGGACGAAATATCTTGCGGCCTTTGCCACTGAATTCATAGATCCAAGGTCGATTTCGATTGGCTTCATGATCTGATAATTGTGGCCGAGCTCTTTCAATTCCTTAATGACTTCAAGCGCCTTGCTTATCTGGCGCGAGGCAACCCAGATCTCTTTTGGTTCGTGCTTAGAAAGCTCAAGAACAGATTGTTTTCCGAGTCCACTGCTAGCACCAGTGATGAGAATGACCTTGCCTTTCAAGCTGGGAATGTCGGTTGATGGGTTGAAGGAGACATTTGCGCTGTGAGTCACTCCCATTTTCATCTATTATTCTTGATTTCCAGTAACTCGCTAGGAGACTTTGGGAAGGGGTTTGAAGAGAAAGATACAAGTTCGAACAATTTCCGTGAGAAAACTAATAATGCCAGGCGGAGCGGGCAAGCTGGGTATCTCTAGTATCGTATAGTTACCAGAAAATCTTCAGAATTAGTAATTTTCTTAACTCCACTTGGTACCAGTTGGGACTTGAGCTGAATGCGGGTGCGGACGCACAGCTAAGACAAGATTATCCATTTGGGTTTGACGCAATTGAATTTCATCAGCATAAGCTTATTTGTACGGAGTAGTAGATGCTATGATCTGGCCAAACTTAACCTCCAAGTCCCACAATATTGACTGGAGGGTGTACCAGTAACTCTACAGCGATTTGTTGATTCAACAGTGTGAATGCATCACTGTATGAAGCCAAGAGACTAGCCATAATTCAAAATGGACAGAAGCCGCGGAAAGCGCATTAAAAATGGCTGAAACTGATTTTGTAAGGAGTAAGCACGGGCAGATGGTAGGTACTGGCTTTTTACTTCCGTGCATAGAAAGCGAAGCCCTACGTTTGCTGCAAAATATTTCATCTTTTTAACTAATTCACACGTTAGTAGCAGTATCTTACAGACACTTAATGCTACACAAAAATCATTTGCCATCCGGTAGGCAAAACCTGACATGACTAGCCGATAGGCCTTCGGCGCATGTCGTAGGGAAAGCCGCCGCCATGACGGGAAAACGATATGATGTCCGGTCTTGCTATAATCTATTTTTACCGTACTGCCCCTATGACTGCGGGTGCGGTGTAATAGTGAGGCAGATGGTGATCCAATGCTTGGTTTGTTGAAAGATTCCACAATTTTACTGAGGAAGATGGGGCTCCAATCAGAAATGCGATAATGACCTGTGACCAGTGTTGACCAGTTGCGCTGACAAATAGAGAAGACGCGGAACGTCTGAGGAAACTTGAAATGGTGACCGTATTAAAAGCTCAAGCGGGAGGCTAATGGCATTAACCGGAGAAGACACAGCAAACCCCGGCCCGCCCGAGCCGCGGAGATAAGCTGGCCAGCGTTCAGCCCGAGCTAAATCCACTAACTACTTACATGTGGGCCCCCGCGCCCGCACCCGTAGCCGCACGTCTGATAAATAATGCGTAGCGGCGTGCGCAATCTGCGGAAAATCGGTTTTCTAATGTTTTGACTACACAGAAAAGAAAATGTCCGGATCGGTCTCCGAAACCTTGGCACCATCTGTTCCGCGCCCAGCGTTTCCCCAGGGCAAGATCGCGATTCCGACTACTGTTGGCGTTCGGTAGTGCAGCGTCTACCAAGGGTCTGCAAGATTTTTCATGTGGGGAAGCGCAAATGCGATAAGCATTATCTAGCATGTGGACGTTGCGAAAGGTTTATACTTCCTTGAGTATATCCGTGTTTCGCTATCTGACCTCCCTTGCTGTCTGCAGACTTAGGCTCAATTGCTCATAGAGTCATACGATGATCCCGTGATCGAGAATACCAATACCAAAGAACCTACAGCCCCCGGGGATCCTGGAAGCCTATCGTAGGTGCCTTTGACCCTTCCCGTGGAGCTCGATCCACCAGGAACCTACCTATTTAAAAAAGATAGTACATGCCATTTCTACTACAATAATATGAGTCGTACGAATAATCCTAGACTAACGTGTAGCTATATAGGACCTTAGGTTAATGATCAAATGAATACTTTTGCAAGAATTAATTATTAAAAATCTCCGTCGATCCAAAAAAGTATCGTATACCAAATGCGAACGGTCTACGTACGAGAGAGCTTAACGGACCCATGTATATTTGTTATGAGATTTCTGTCATGAGGCTATCTCTATGTTGATGCCTCAGGCCCTGTGCCGGCCGGAGGATCCTGTCGAGACAACCAGCCATTCCACCTTGATGGCGCAGCTGAAGACTGGTTACACAAGCTCGTATTCCTTCTAGGATACCCCTACTTCTGATCTCTAGCNTGTAATGAAGTTTGGATGGTAAATAGTAGTAAGAGGGTAGTTAAGAATAAATTCAGAACTAAGATTCAAAACTGTTTAGCAGAGGATCGAGGGAGTATTTATCCCTAGATTTTCAGTGGTAATAGGTGGCAATAATAATAAGTGATGATCTCACTATAGAATCGTATAGACCTATATGATATCATATGGTTCTATAGTTCTATAGAGATTCTATAGAGATTCTATTTAAATATAGAATCTATTAATAGAATCTATTTATATAAAGATTCTTATATCTATTCTATTCTATATTCTATACTCCCCCTTAATCTATATATAGCTAGTATATAGATTAATAGAAGGAAGATAGATAGATAGATAGATAGATGGCTAGTTAGCTATCTTAGTTGATTTATTAATATCAACTAGATTAGCTAGGTTAACTAGCTTTTCAAATGCCTCTCTATTAACGTTTTTAGTCAATATATCTACTAGTTAGCTCTTCGTGTTAATATAGGTCAATTTGACCTTTCTATCTTGAATAGCCTCTCTTATATAGTGATATTAGATATCTATGTGTTTAGACCTCTTATAGAATTCAGGGTTTTGCCCTAATCTTATAGCAGATTCGTTATTAACTAATATAGTAGGGATATCTGACAGATAGCCTAGATCTAGTTGATCGTTTAGATAGTTAAATATATTAGCTAGATAGATAGCTTCCGTCACAGCCTCTTTCATAGCCATATATTTAGCTTCACAGCTGCTTATAGTAACTGATTTCTGTAATTGTGAATTCTATAAGATAGGGTTATTTAGCCCTAGGTCGCCAGATAGGCTAAATAGGTAGCCAGTAGTAGATTTCCTACTATCTAGGTCACCTACCCAGTCGGCATCTAAATAGCCTTTTAGATATAGGCTATTGCCTAGGCACTTATATAGTAGGCCTAGGTTAGGTTTATATAGTAGATATCTCCATATCTTTAATAGTGCATTTATATGCTTTTGACTAGGATTAGCCATAAAGCGTGTATAATAATTAACAGGAAAGGTTATATCTAGTCTAGTTTTTAGACTAGTATATAATAGTAAACCTATTTCTTACTAATATAAATTGATTATCTTATCATCAGCTTTATTAGGGTTCTTATAGAATCTGACACCTGGTTCTCCTAGCAATTTCAATGGCTAATAGTCATATATATTAAACTTCTTTAGCAATTTATATATATAGTCCTTTTAATCTATATATATAGTTTTAGCTAGATAGTCTATATATATATTATTGCCTAGAAAGGTGGATATATCACCTAGTTCTTCTAGCTTAATATATATATTAAACTTCTTAGCTATATCTATTATATAGTTCCTATCTTAATATATAATTAATATATCATTAATATGGACTATTAATATAGCTTTAGATAGCTTATTAATATATACTCCTTCGTTATAGGGTAGTATATAGAAACCTAGTTCTTTAGCTATCTTCCTAAAGAACTAATTCTATAGCCTAGGCGATTACTTTAGGCTATATAGTGCCTTCTTTAGATAGCAGCACTTATCTATATAGATAGGGCTAGTATATAGACCCTTAGGTAATATAGTATAGATATTAGTATCGATATTAGTATATATAAAGGCGTTTTTAACGTCATACTATATTATAGGCCATCCTTTGTTAACGGCTATAATCAGAATCATATGCTAGGTTTCTGTTCTGGTAGTGGTAGAAAAAGTCTCTAGGAAATCTATACCTAATTTCTAGTAGAATCCTTAAATGACCCATCTAGCCTTATATCTAATAGATTGATCTCTATTAGTAATATAATTAGGCCTAATACCCTTAGGGTTTTTAATAGGCTTCTGTTTGAATACCCACCTACCTTTAATAGGTATGATATTAGGTGGTATA